GGGGGGAAGTGGGGGAGCGGGAGGGAGCGGGAGTGGAGGGGCGGGGGCTAGCGGGAGTGGCGCTGGTAATGGGGGCGCACAGGAGAAGGCGGGTCCGAAAGGAAGACTTGCGCGCTCTGTGAAGGAACTACTGGAGGGCGATGGTGTTGACCGAGACGAACGCATCCGTTTAGCCCGTGGGGCTGCTGAAATGCTGCGCGCATGTGGCATTCCGCCTGAACATGCTCTGTACCGCAAGCTCGTGAAGTTCAACGCTGGAGTGCAAGTTGCGGAGACGTGATTTCTTGGTAGTGAGGGATCTGGGGCGGATAGATGTTGTTGATTTGTCGTTCATTATGGACATCGAGGACAGGTCCTGATATTTGTCGCGCGGTCGTATTGGACTATATATAACATCTTTGAGTTGTACGATTTGGTACGATGCTCGAGAGGGAGTGTCGTATCATACCGATTAGAACACTCGGGCTGCTCAATCGATGTACCGTGGGCGCCGATCAAGACGCGTCGCGTCGCGCTGTCGAACAACTCGTCCTCCACCTCCATCATCTTGGGGCCTCGTGGATCAATCACACTACCAAATCTGGTACCACAACGGGGAATCTGACATTACCGTATGACGGACAACTCAGTGTCTCTACCACCTACACAGAAAGAATGCTGTCTACCGGCCGAGATCGTATCCTACATCATCGAACTGGTTGCGGAGGATGCTCGTGGCGAGGGCGAGAAGCTCGCTGGCGCAAACTCTCTGTTGGCACGGCGGGCTTCCTTGCAATGGCTCCGTTGCACGCACACTTGTCGACAGTGGAGGTCGGCAGCCATCCAGCACGCCGCTCTCTGGAACAGCATCCCTGCGGTTCCTAGGCCTTTGTGGACGCTGTACGCAGACCGGGCGCGTCGCCTGCCTCTTATCATCAGAGAGCTACCCAACGATGCCGATCAATGGAACCGCGATGAATTAACGCGCCGCTTGTCTCGTGCTCGGACATTCGCGTATCGCGGTTCCCCCGCTGCACTGAGGCGCATGGTCGCTATATTGGCTAATTGTTTTGAGCCTATTCTACAAGACCTATCTCTTGAAATAGATGGATTGACTATTTCAAACCTCGTTCTACCATCGGAAATCCTACGCAGTGCTGCTTCAACCTTCGAACATCTTCGTCTCCGTAACATCGCTTTCATATGGCCCGATATACCCACCAGTCTCCGCACTCTGGAACTTTCTGGCCCGCTCGATGACCCTGTCGAAGACATTATGGGCGGCTTACGCGCCACGCAGAACTAGGAGATGTTGTCAATCCACGGCCTGCCAATGCAGCCCGACATACCGCTGCATGAACCCCTGAGACTCCAGCGTCTCCGGCGCGTCGCGCTCAGCGGACATATCACTGCTGTAGCTGCGCTCTGTGCCTCTATCATCCCGCACCCTGCTGCGTCATTAGATTGGGCGACGTGCACTACCTCCGAAGATGATGGCGAAAGTGTACGACATATACTCGACGCACTCGCTATGTTGTGCACGAGTATGGAACGCCCTTTCTGCTCGCAAGCCAGAATTGCAGTTTGGTATTCGGGAATGGTGGACTTCACGATGCTACCCGAACCTGATCAACCTCGACAGTCTGACATCCCGCACAGCGCGGAGCCACGTGCCTCTGTACACATCACGATTGATGACCCTTACGGGCCTGAGCATAGCCATGTTAGCATTCTATCTCAACTGCATTGCACGCATTGGACAAAGCTCGAAGTCTCGGGCGACGCTTCTTGGGACGTTACACGCGTTATCGACTGCTTCGGACAAGCAAAGGCCGTAGAGGCGCTTTCGCTCAAAGACCTCGAGGCGGACGACGCCGCTGCGTTCTTCTATGCGTTAAATCCGCACTTTCTGGAGTTCGAAGGCCGGCCAGAGACCTCCTACTTTCCCCAACTACAATACCTGTACGTCAGCGGCATCAACTTTGGCTGTTCAAGAGCCGCGTGCGATGGTCCGCTCTCGTTGGGAAGTATACTCAATACGACGTTGAACTTCAGGAAAGTGGCGGGTCATGAGCTTTCTCTTCTCACCGTAAAGGCGTGCTCGGTCTCTTTCGACGATGTGTGGGATTGGGGTCAAGGCGGTAAGTGCACGACAGTGGAGTGGGACGACGACGAGGGCGAAGCGCATGTGCATTTGTCTGATGTTGAATCGGACGGGGATGATGGAGATGGCAACTCTGATCAGGACGGCGAGGAGTAGTATAGCGCACATGCATTTCGGACTTTGATGAGTTCTCGCAGATTGCACGCTAACGCCTATGCCTTGTTCATAGTGTGATATACCTAGTATAGAATTCGCATGTACCAACCGTTTTCCATGACATCCGATCGTTGCTTATGATTCGGTTATTAAGCTGAAAGCTGGAGATTTGCTATGTTATATAATTTGCCATCCGATCGGCGTGCTCTTATTTGCATCGGCATCGAATTCAGATCACGACTTGGGGTAGAGTGTGGGCGGCCTATGAAAGACTAAAAGCATCGCGCGGCCAATGATAAGGCACAACCACGCGTGTGCGGCGGCGTGCGGATGCTAGCAACTTGAACCACATCCACGACCTCTCACCCGTGGCTCCCTGGCTCCATTTACTTTGAAAAGAATTCACACCCCTCACTACGGCTGAAACGATTATTTATCACTTGCTATGAGCTCCAGCGGAGAAGAGACGTCTGGTGAAGAACGTATCGCCCGCCGAGTCGCCACAGCACTCTTTGCTGCTCGTAGACGCGCCCACAGCCCGACCGACCCCTCCGACGTGGACTCCGATACAACGCAAGATAGTGACACGGAATCGTCGTCGAGCGAGGAGTATCCACTCATGTTGGGATATAGAGCCGCTGTTGAGGCTAGGGAACGTAGCTACCACGCTGCACAGCACAACTCGGACACCGTGACGCATCGACTTCCGGTAGAGGTTCTTTGCCTTATCTTCGAATGGGTAGCGCATCCAGGGCGTAGTAGCGGGGGTCTTTGCGATGATGGCTCGGGACAAATGTTATTATACATCACGCATGTCTGCCGCCATTGGAGGTCCATCGCTATTGCGCATGCTACTTTGTGGACCGCTATACCGTACCAGAACAAAGCGTTATCGGAGTTGTTCTGGAACAGAGCCCACGGCGCACAGCCTTCAATATCGCTCTGCCTTGATCAGCTATCAACTATTCCTCTGGTGTATAACACGACCTTCTTCCGTGTGCTCCCGTGTCAATACAGGGTATCCGCACATACTCACAAGGAAACGCCGTTATCGGGAGCGCAAGCGCGTCGACTCGCTGGCATTTTGGGGATGGTAGACCCAATGTCCAATCTTCATACCCTCGAACTCGACTACCGATTGACTTCCCCTACGACGCTATCCCACGACTTCTTCGCCAAGAGCACCTCCAGACTCCGGTGTCTCTTCTTGAAAGGTGTCGTGTTCCCTTGGGGCTGTGCTCCTACGGCACTCCGCGAGCTCTTTCTGGGCGGCTTCCAAGGCGAATCGATGTCCCCACAGCAGTTCACGGAAGGACTTCGTCTTCTACCTTGGCTGGAGGTGCTGAGCCTAGACAGTATCACGTTCAACGGCGCCTCGGCGAGATCAGATGGCGTTGTGCCTTTACCTAACTTGATACGCCTTGTTCTAAAGGGTGACTACGACGGCTGCGCATACTGGTGCTCAGTGGTGCAACACCCTGTCGAAGCCAGTCTTGACATTCAGATTTACGAGCGGTCCATGTGGAAGAGCCCCTGCCCAGATGACGAAGTTCAGGGCAAGATATCTACGTTGTTGGAATCTTTGCACACACGTCAAGGACGCCCTGAGTATTGCCACGCGACACTTGCACTCGGAGCTGAAGGGGAAGACCCGACGCCGCGCGTTGAATGTTGTTTAAGAAGTTCAATCGAACGCTTAGACGCTTATCCATATCTCCGGCTACTATTGTCCGATCATGGACCTCCCGCCGACCGCGGAACAGTCGTACCCAGGATTCCTCGCGAGATTTGCGGCGCGTTGCGACAGAGCGAGTGGGTTGTCGTCGAGATTACGTCTCCGGGTTTCACTATAGGTGTCGAGGATGTTCACCACATCCTCAACGGGGCAGTATCGCTACAGGAGCTCCGCTTAACTGGCATGGAGCCCGATGCAGTAGACGCCGTCTTCGAATTCTTGAATGGCGATCAAAACGACCACGCAAGCCTCAAGAGGATCGTCCTTCGGGAGGTCGACTTCGGTTGTCGGCTGCACTCAAGGTGCAGCGGCGAGATGGGCGCAATAGCAAGCTTGAGCAAGGTTCTCGGGCGTGGCTCCGGGGCCCACAAGCTTGCATCAGTTGTCTTTCAGAACTGCGCCATCTCGAGCGACCACATTCGGACATGGCAAGATCAGGACTTGTGCGATGAGCTGAAGTGGGATGGAAACATGGGTCAAGCGCCGACCTCCCATAATCCAGAGTAGAGTCGCATCCTTTGTGACGGACATTCATGATTGAGACGAGTGGGGAGTATGCAGAGCACGGTCGGTAGTACCAATTCGGAAGTAATAGTATCATCCATTTGTATACCACAGCCAAGAATATTATTCCATGTGCGAAATTTCGGATCACGGCCCGGCGGTTGTTGAGTTCTTTGAGGACGCGCTCGCCGAGTCGCTTGTCTCGCACCGTCATTGCCTCAGCACCATTGGCAGTATCTATCATGTTCAAACTCGCTTGAAGGGCATCGTTCGCGTTTGCGTGCAGGATGAAGCCAGCGCATAACGGCATGCGATCAGCATCCCAGAACACATGCTTGCAACGCTACGTCTTGTGCCGGATTCGGCACTCCATTCCGACAAGATACTCTTTGGCACCGAGGAGAGTGGCACCTTCGGGTCTCAAACCCAGACCAAGGGCCTATCACCATTGGCCATATGAGATTCCGTACATTTCCGCACACATAGGTCACGCAGACTGAAGCTGAATATCACAGTGACTGCCTGCGGGCTGTAAAATGTTTCATGCTGTAGATGGGATCTGCATCGTCATTTCGCCCGCGCAGTCATCACGGCCTGATGTACTGAAACTTCGAGATAGCCGCATTGTATAGCATCCAACAACTGTATCGCCGAGCGGAATCGTGCTCCGCTCGAGGCATCGGCAATTTGTAACATGGCTAGTCACGCCGTAATCGCTCTCACTACTATATCAGCCAGCGAAGAGCTCTAGGCTGATTCTCATTTCACCTCGCATGGCTACTCCGGTGATGATGAGAATGGGAACTACGGAGTAGGTGCCAATCAGGACTGTATACGTGGCTGAGACGATCTGACCTAGCTTCGCAGGTGTAGACAGCTCTCGAAGAGCATGGCATTTGTTACTGCGCTATCCGGCTGCATCATCGAACCAGGTATCAAGCCGTGCACGTCGAGTACGGCTACACTCGTCAAGGCGCCTATCGCTGCCGATTCCGTCAGCGGTGAAACGGGACTCTACGCGCCGGATATGACATCCCAGCTACCCGTTGAGGTCCTCTCCGACATCTTCGAGACAGCTATAAGCCTCGATCACCGCGATCACAATGTCTGCAACCAGCGACTCAGAAGGACCCGGATACACATCACACACGTCTGCCAGCGTTGGAGGTCCATCGCTATTGCGCACGCCATCTTATGGTCCGAGGTGTCCGTCCAGAACAACATGCTCGCGGAACTGCATGTATCCAGAGCCAGCTCTGCACCTCTTTCCTTATCATTGTGCCTCGACAAGATGCGTACTTCAGCTTTGACGCACAACGCAACATTCCTAGAGATTCTTCCCCTCCTACGCTCGATCAGCGCACATGCACACGGCGGTACCTCATTATCGAGAGAGCACGCCTACCGGCTCATGAGCCAGCTTGCTGCGATGGAATCCATGGGCAACCTCGATACCCTTGAACTTCACTACGACATTGGCTCCTTGACGATGCTGCCCGCCCGCTTCTTCACGGACGTCGCCGTCCAGCTTCGCCGATTGTCTCTCAGAGGAGTCGTATGTCCTTGGGGAAACATTCCTGTCTCCCTGCGCGAGCTATCTCTCGCTGGGCCACAAGTCCCATCTTTCACCCGTCAGCGGTGTCTGGACGGTATCGGCCGTCTTCAATCGCTTGAAGTTCTCATCCTTGACAACGTCACATTCCACAACGCGCGCGAACCGTGCGCCGGCGATGGCATTTCGTTGCCCCATCTCCTTCACTTCATAATGAAGGGAGAGCGTCATGACTGCGCATACTGGACCAGCGCCGTGCGACCCTCAGCGAACGCTAGGTTTGACATTCAAGTCAAATCTCCGTGGAAACAACTCTTCGAGGATGACGCAGTCTTGCGCACGATCTCTGCCTCTTGCAATGCTCTCACGCAAAGCGATCACTCGGCATTCCAATATGCGAGGCTTGCATTCGGTGTTGAGGGCTACGGACTGCACTCTTTTGAGTGCTGTCTGGAAGCTCAGACCCCCAGTCTTGACGACGCAGTTCCTACCTGCCGCTTGCTCCTATCAGACGACACGTCTTACGAAAGTCGCGGAGATGTCGTACCGACTCTGCCAACCGATATCATACGCGCGCTGCGACAGAGCGAATGGACGGTCGTCGAGATCAGCTCTCGTCTCAATTTGGGAGCCACAGACGTCGAACGTATCATCAGTCGGGCGACCTCGCTACGGAAGCTGAGATTGACCGGTATTTCTCCGGAAACACTGACGTCCATCTTCGAGGCGCTGGCTAGCTTGCAGGGCAAGCTCGAAGGCTTGGAGAGGATTGTCCCCCCAGGCGCCGACTTCGCGTGCGGAGATCTCCGGTGCAGCGGCGAGGAATGCGCGGCCACCGCATTGGACAGATTCCTTCGCCAGCGCGCAGGCGCGGGCTACAGACTCTCCTCGCTCGTGTTCAGAAATTGCACTCTGTCGAGCGAACACGTGGGAGTTTGGAGGGACGATGTCCTGTGTGAGGAATTGTTGGTGGAAGGGAGTAGCAGTTAGACGCCCGTTCATCGCGGATAGTGATCAAGTATTCTCGCATAGCAGTACGAATGAGAACAATATGATATAACAATATCCGACAAAAGGAGATCTAGCATGCATACAGAGACTATCATCAAGTGGCGAGAGGTGCAGCGATGACCGGTTCGCCGTCCAAGGTCTTTTCGGCTTTGCCGTCCCCAACAGCTTGCCCATCTGCAGCATCGCTGACACCTCGATCATCTGCGTCTGGTCCTGTCCGACCGTTCGCATTCCCGTTGACGTTGAGGGCACCACCATTTGCGGTCGACGAGTCTCCGACCACAGGGGAAGCAGACGATGGCTCAGGCTCTTCGGGAACTGCTCGTACGCTCGGCGTCTGTGCGGTCCGCGAACGAAGGAATCCGAGGCCGAAGAACGACATCCGGCTAGTTGTCGGTGGTGGTTGTGGAGGTTCCTTGTCCTTGGTCTCCGCGTCCGCTGAAGTAGAAGCCTGTGTAGGCGTGGTCGCATCGCCGTCCTTGACAGTAGCTAATGATCGCTCCGTTGGCGTTGGGCTCGCGGCTCTTGACGCAAGACCGGAGTCTGACTCATCAGATACCAGTGTGGGTGTGATGGAACTGGCGAGTGACAGTGATGGGGTGAAGGTAGTGGGAGGGGAGACACCGTCGGACAGTGTGAGGAGGAGATTCTTGAGATTCGCCAGCGTATGGCGAACGTCGAGCGCACGGAGATCGCGCTCAGCCATAAGCAGCTCGATGTCCTTGTTTAGGAGGAAGACTCCATACTCAAAACGATAAGTATCGACGCCACGCGAGAATAAGGGGAACCTATCGGATATTCAGCATCAATACATCGCCCAAGGCAGTCAGGTCGTGCGCACATTCTCGGGCCGACCATGGCGCTGATGCCATCTTTGATGACGCTCTTGCTCCCAATAAATGTGACCGGATAGACGAGCGATAGCCCCGTGTAGGTAGCCAGTAGCCCGACCACGAGAGCCGCGTAGCCGAGTGCAGAGGCGACGCTGTCTTCATTCACATCCTTGTGCGCCGGCAATGTCAATGGCGGTGCGGGATCAGTCGCTCCAGCGGGTATAGCTAGTGGTATGTCGAGGATCGTGAATAGAAGGTCGTCAGGCGAGCGCAGCTCGATTGGGAAGAGCCATGCGAGCGTGGCAACGAGAGCTGCCCTTCGCGGTGCTATGCGTGAGCGAAGCACAGCATTGCGTTCTCTAGGTCCATCATGAGAGAATGTGACGTTCGAGTATCTGGAGTACGTACCGCTCTGCAGCGATCTCAGCGGCAGTGTCCTCGATGGCCTTCGCATCATCTGCGAGTAAGTTTGAGGCGGTGTCGACTTCTTCTCGTCTTTCCCGGAGCGCCATCCGCTTTTCACTGATGCGTTGCCGTACTGTACTTCGCATGCTTCAGTTCGAGCTCTATGATTCGACGACTGTACGCACGGTCTTCGACTTCGCTGTGCATCCTCGCTGAAACGCCTCTCCACTCATCAACGCGCGCCTGTCGCTCTGACACTTCGTGTTTCTATGTCACATCAGTCCTCCTTGCACTACTTGATTATGTTGCAATGAGGCTTACCAGAGGTATTAACTCATCGCTAGCGACGAAGTCATCCAATGCAGCACTCGTATCCCGGAGTTGAGCGCGCGTCTCAGCAAGTGCCGTCTGCAGCGTCGCAAGCTTAAGCAGCTCCGGCCAGTTTGAAGTTCGAGTCCGAGGCTGTATTCGAGCACTACTAGGCTCCTGCCGTATCGTACTTGCGCCCCTACTACTGCTGTCGGTACTGGCAGTCGACGCATCGACGCGCAGATTCTTCAAGCCATCTCCAGAGAGTGAAGCTGTCGGAGGTGTTGAGCCGTCTCGTCGCGTAGGTGATACACTGCGCGCTCGCGTTCGTGCTGGATCGATGTCGGGTGGAGGAAGGTATAATGGGTGGGGAAACGTTGAGAGCGACACGATGAGAGTGTTAAATGGGATACGGGCCGGATTCTGAATGAACTGTTCCAAATAGTCAGAATCTCAGCGTTGATGATATCAGCGTTTGGGCACGTGCCTCATCCGGCAAAGGAACTAGATCTGCCAAAGACAGCACCCATTCTTCGAGTATACGCCACTCTCCCTCGCCATCTTCACGTATCTCTTCCTTCTGCTTCCCCTTCCCTTTCAATGATGCCGGCGGAGTTACGACCTTCGCCCAGAGCTCAACCGTGACATGCTCACTCGTCCGATCTGTCCACGGTGGTAGAGCTCGAGCGAAGTCCACAGGAAATGAGGGATTCGTCGAAGGATGGTGGGGTGACGATATGTAGTCTGGCACCGGTCGCGGATGCCGCTGAGACGAAGAGCCAGGAAAATGCATCCGCGAACTGCGAGTCGCCGAGGATGGCGTATGTGACGATGTCGAAGGTAAAGATGAAGGGAAGGACGGGGCTGTGGCGAACGATACAAGGGACGGTTGTGATACAGATTCGCTATCAAATAAGTTGTCCAGTTCTAGGTGATTGCGATCTGCTGTCTTCGAGAGGTGGGAGGAGCGTGGAGATAGCGAAGACGTCGCAGAGGACTTGCTCAAACGAGAGCTTCCGGAGCCAGAAGCAGATATGGAAATGTTGGGTTTGTGTCCAGTCGGACGACGAGGCGAAACTGGAGAGGCTGTGCGCGGCGAGACCGGAGACACGGATGCCGCGGCATGACTGCCTGGCTCAGATGCAGATTGCATCTCGGATGATGAAGGAACTGTGACGGCGATAAAAGTCTCGACAAGTCGTGCCCGCAAGATGCGCTCAAGTGTCGCCTGGCTGTGGTCCATCCAGATACCGGCACCATGTGACGGCGCCTGCATCGAGTTGTGTGTTTGCCCGGACGACTGGCTCAGCACTGACATGGTCGAATTGGCGCGCGGTCTTCGTTGGAATGCGCCCGTCAAACTCGGTCTCCGTGCCGGCCCAGCTCCCACCATTCCCGCTCCAACATTATATCCGTCCTGGCCAACATCGCTCGATACAGGAGGACTAGTGCTGAGGGTCGAACCTCCCATGACAGACTCCAGCGCACTCGTACGCGAGAGCGTACGGCGTCGCCCTCTGCCTTCTTGTATCTGTGATAGAGACGAGATAGACGTGGAGGAAACGCGTCGGGTTCGTCCAGCGCTCCGCCCGAGGTCGAGATCATCCGAAGTATGCGATGGTCGTTCGGTCGGCTGGGTTAAGGCAGACGCAAGAGAGTCGCGAGCAGGAAATGGAGTGAAGTTCTTGATTTGGAGAGAGGTTATGTGGCGAACAAGGCGCTGTTGAACGTGGTTAGCCCGAGCCTGTACATGAGTTTGAGAGATCGAACCTCACCTGTGGCCCTGAAACATCATCCGTATTATATACCCAGTCTTGGATGCTCTCCACCGGTGTAGAGAACTTTGAGGGCATGCGTGCGGTCCAATAGCTCGCCTCAATAGTCTAGGTATGGTACGGAGACGTGATGTGACCTGTGCAATGCCGATGGACAGCGCGCTCGCTCAGAGTACGACTCTGTGAGCCTATTTGAGGCTCAAGATAGTTACAGTTGCAAATGACAGGTGCGGCGTCTGATGGGATAGTGGACCAGAGGTAGCCTGCCAGACTTAGATGGGAAGAGGCAAGCCCGAACTGGCACCGGGGAACTCTGCAATGAATTCAGTGAGACACGTGCGGAGGCGCGACCTGCGCTAACGCCGACGCGAACCCGAACCACGACGCGTCTGACACTGCTTGTCTCCAACCACCATCTCCCAGGGCACGCCAAATACTATACTTCACCTACTCACAACCAATACATACGCTCGGAACTTATCTGAGAGATATTGAACCTGGGATTGACCGCGATGCCCCCGAAACCACGCATGGTATGAATGGTGACATCAAGTCCTGAAGTCTTTGCCTGAGTACTTGTCACCAGGTGCGCAAGAATGCGCCAACATCTACTGCGATGCCCGGGCCCTCTATGATGGCTGCTATGGGTGCAGGCCCCGTCGCTCTTGCCCCGGCTGCCGCTCCAGCGCCACAGATACCACCCTCTACATCAACCACCCTTGGCACTGGAAGGAGTACACCGACGGGCGTTAGCCCTGGCAAGGGTCTTTCTACGGCTACCAATACAAGCAAGAGCTCCCCGATGGCTGCGAACTCCAGTAAAGGTTCTCCGATGGCTGCCAGTGCCAGCAAGAACTCCCCGAAGCCGGGTAATGCTGGCAAGAGCATGCCCCCACCACCGGCGCCCTCAGCGCCCAAGGCTATACTCGAAGCCGAAGTGGACGCCATGTCGCGTGCATTCCGCGTACGTCACTTTTCGATACCCTGAAAGATACTTCGCTGATATATCATTGTAGACAGCGGCGGTAAAGACGGGGCAAATATACGGTTTCTATGCGGATACAGCGAAACTGTACGTTCAGCGGATACATCATATCTCACACTCGCTGATCAATCCCAGAGGTATCCAAAACTATGCACCTCGCCCGCCAGCTTCCTTGACTACAGGTCTGGCGCGGCATGTCGAACAGTATGATCAACTCTGCGATCGCGTGGAGGCGCATCTGCTACGCGCAATAGCTGTTCTTCAGCGTGATCTTCAGCGCGAGCGAGCTGCACAACAGGCAGAAGAGGAAGCGCGCATGGCGGTCGCCTCACCGGAGCCCGAGCCGGCTGCCATCGAGCCACCGCCTTCTGCTAGTTTGACAGCGCCCGAAATGTCGCCACCACTATCTGCGAGCGGTATGAGCCAGTCGGGATCCGGTCGCCGTCCCAGCACTATATCGCTCTCCTCGCTCAACCGACCTCAATTCGCGCACAAGCTAGATCTTTCGGACTCTACCTTACAGTTCTCGCCAGACTCCCTCTCAGCGGCAACCGGCCTCGACGCTGCCACACTCGCTAGCTTAGGTCGCCCGCCTTCCCCTATTACACTTGCGCCAAAGAGTGCTCGTGCGCTCGAACTCGGGGCCGATTTTATGGGCCTACTCGAGAGCGCCGGCGCCTCTTCGAATGTCGATCGCCCAGTCGACATCGACTTGACCCTCGACGAGGACGTTGTGTCCGGGCCAGGTGCTGGAAGTGCGGATCAGCCCATCGAACTCGACTTGGATATGGACATGGACCTCTTCGGCGATCCCACATCCTCGTTGCCTGATGTGCCAGTCAAGAAAGAGCCAGGAACCGAAGGGCTTGATATGGACCTCCTCAACTCCCTCGCACCGAAGGACGACGCTGGTCAGTCCGGCGCAGACCTGCTCGCCCAGCTCGGTCAAGCTGGAGACGCCGGCGGCAGTGCGGACTTCAACCTCGACATGAGCACGCTGCCTGGCATGAACATGGACGTCTCGGGCAACTTAAACATGGATCTCGGGATGGGGTCGGGCATGGATCTCAGCACAGGCGGCGGTATGAACCTAGGCGAGGGTTCGAGTATGGACGTCGGGATGGATATGAATCTGGACTTCTCGGGCGTACCGCTGTCGGATGTCGACTTTTCGAACGTTTCGGGTGGTGAAGGGGTGGATATGTTGGATATGGATGCGTTGCTTGGGTCAAGCAGTGCCACAGGTGACGGCGCAGGGGCTTCGGAAGTGAAGGACGGTGGGACGTCGTAATGTGTACTACGCGATTTGTTGCTCGGAAGTGATCTGCGCTTGTACATAATACTGTTACAGTCAAGTTAACGCCGCATACGCCGTATCAAGGAACGGTAGACTGCTCGCAGGCCGCGCAGGTCGCGCGATGTGTCAGTGTGAACCTTTCCTATTGCAAGGAAGGGACATCCATCCAGTGACTCTGTGGTTAAGTATTCAGGTCTTTCGCCACGATAGTATATAGTCGGGCGCTATACACTGCGTGCTATGAATTGGAAGGTTATGTACTGGGCCCAGACAGCCTATTCATGTGGGCGCCTTCCAAGGCGCCGGGAGCGCAGCGCGTGAGAACGCAGTCGGCGGATAGCGCTTCTTGTTCCGCCCCTTCATGTTCTCCTCGGGCTGCCGTATCGTGCATCATGCTCGTCGACTATTGCGCTCTGATCCAAATGCGAATGTTATAGGCTCGACGCACGAGCATTGGTTGCCCAGCCCTTCCTGGTATGGCAGGCAATCGCAAGCCATCGAATCTGACATACGAACCGATTATCCGAGGCTTGCCCATTCTACGACGCCCATTGCAGTCTACCACGACACTAAGGAGAAAGCACTATCAATAGATCGCTGGTGGCGCTGCAGGTGGGCGATTCTAGCTGCGTGCTTTCTATTATGAGAGCAGTCGTGTACATCCACATCATGCAGCCTGAACACGCGTATATTCGATTAGGGAAGAGGTCTTCCTCAGACATTGTACGGTCGGCGTTTCTGCGCTGATCGTGAATATCATCTCTCCCGTAACGTTCGGGCAGTGCAGAACGTGCACGCTTGCTGTCTACGCACAGAGATGTCGGCAGCGCAAGACGGTGGCGGCGTTCCCGCCGCCGCTCAGATCGCTGTTCCCACCCCTGCTTACCCCGGTGCGCAGGCGTCTGTAAGCCCCCCGACCCACCACCGCTCTTCCTATATATGCTGCCGACCCTGCGTCTTACATTCCTCACCACCCCTTTCTCTTCTCTTTCTTCTTTCTTCTTCGCTTCTTCGTTTTTTTCTATATCTTTATCTTTTTTCACGAAGCGAAGATGTCTTTCTCCACCGCTCTTAACGTCACGGCCATTACCACCCTCGAGGGCACCGGCAAGTCTATCTTCCAATGCTGGTCGCTCCCCGGTTTCGCCCAGTCGGGCCAGAACGGTCTTATCGGTGCCAACGAGATCTTCCTCGGCGGCATTGCCAACACGTCTTACACCGTTGTTCCCGGTCACTTCGAGGGTGGTGTACACAACTCTCCCAACAAGCAGTACGTGCATGTCTTCGCATGTAGAAGCTTCTTTTGCTCATACCTCTGTAGGTTCGCGGTCTTCCTCGAGGGTGTTGTCGAGCTTGTCCTTCCCCCGGAGACGCTCCCCATCGACGACGACGCGCCCTACGTCACCACCGCGTACATCCAGGGCGGCGCATACGGTCTTATCGTTGCTGAGGATACCCTTGAGGACTCTGCCATCGGCCACAATACGATCTACCCGTCCGGCATCGAGACCCGCGTGATGCAGCTTCCTTTCCCTGATGGTATCTTGCCCAACCACACCGTCATTGAGTGAGCATCACTTTCGTGTCCATATTGAGATGTCGATGATGCTTATGCAACTCAACCAGCCCCTACGGACCGTGTGTGTACAACGAGCTCGCGAACAAGAAGCGTGCCATCGACGAGCTCAACTAAATCCTATGCTTGGACTTTGTTGAATCACTCTCCGTAAGCATCACTGACTGCGACGCGTCTTGTCCTCGCTGATCTAGCGCTCAGGTTGGCTCGTTTTCTCTCATCCTTTCCTTGTCGCGCTTTTGCTCTGCACATGTCATTCACGCTGTCTCGTTGTATCCTGGTTCAATGCTGCTGTTCTGTCATCATTCGGTCTGATGTACCCTACATTACAAGACAATGCCGATAACCTGCGTTTCTGGTCGAAATGGAGGCCGTGCAATAAGTTTCTGCTGTTTGTCGCGCCCATGCTGATCATACGCAATCGTGTATAGACCTCGAGCTTACAGTGTGGCAACGACACGTCACGGACGGTATGATGGGGAGCCAGGCGTGAGCGCTAATTGACGTCCAGACGTCGCGCAGTCATATGACGCTCGTGCGCGTCGCCCTCCCGCCCGTCCCAGATAAGGTTCTCGACGTCCAACTTGAACAAGATAGCATATTCTCTTGCTATCGAACACTCCTTCAGCTCCAGTGTCGACAGGGGGTAGCCATCATTCTTGCGTGCATTCAACATGCCTCTCAACGAGTGGATCAGAGCATCGTCCCCGTCGCATTCACTATGATCACAACCGAGGGACATGCGCGACAGCGTGAGATGCCTTAATGCGGGAAATACAATTGGCGCTGGCTCATTCGAATGTAGCTCTGGTTGGAGCTGGTGAAGCGCGGACTTGACCATGCTATGAGATGCACCGCCCATCGCGAGTGCGCTCAAGTGCACTGCAGGGCGAACCACCTCGTGAAGCATAAGAGGTAGATGCCACTTCCCGAAGACGTCTAGCGCGCTCCAGCGTGTCTTCTCTGAAGATGCCATCATTCGCCGGAGTACCTTGAATCTGTACTTTGGCGACACGCGATTGGTCGCATCGCATAGCTCGAATGAGATACGAAAGCAAGGAATCGATATTTCAACGTTCCTCAAGTCTGCCTGACCGTGCGGCGAAGCCCGAAACCCGCGGACGTGAATGTCGATCATGCTTCTATGCTCTGCATGAGCTGTCACGGTGATAGATGTCGCTTCGTTCAATCTCTGAATTTGACGAGCCGCAGATTTCGCAAGGCGTCGGATGTCATCCACCCGAACGTCTTCGCGGTAGCTGGAAACGTTGACAGACATCTTGGCTGAGGGCGGCAGACGGATGTTACGACACATGATGGTACATGCAGCGACGGCGCCACCGACGACGAGATCTCGTATGTGGGCCATAACCACTGTGGGCATGGCATCCGACGCCGGCACGGCGTGCGAGGTGTTTTCGAATTGTAGGTACGCATGACTCAGATTCGGAAGAGCTTGTAACCCAAGGAGCACGATGTTGACCGGTTGTGCGATGTTCTCCACGTGGAGACGGTGTAGATGATGGGCCTCAGCTGTCCATGGGAAAGGTATACGACGAAGTTCGATGTGTTCAAGTTGAGTGGGGATCGACGAAAGGGTGTGGGGACCAAGATCAATCTGGCTGGAACAACCATCAATCGACCTTTGGACGGTCAAGCTGCGTAATCGAGGTGCATGCGCCATTGTATTGAGAGCGTCGACGAGTCTGACTGGACAGCGAATCGCAGGTTCAAGGTACTCGAGCTTGGGGCACTCGATATGTAAGGTTTGTATGCTTTCGATGTCTTTCTTCATCGCTGCCTCCAGCCAGAGGGCCCACGTCCCGTGGTTATAGACATGAACGTGCAGCGGCTGACCCTGAGCACGTTGGACAAATAAGTCCCATAAGCTTGGAGACCGTACGTATACACGAGCCCATAGGGAGCCATCGGAAAGAGATACATCCCGCCAGTAGTGACAGACCTGTGAGACAGGTAGCCATTCCTCACGTTCGGACGTGGCAAGCAATCTGAATATTAACAGGAGGATTTCCACGGGCAGCTGACAAGCCAGGGAAAGCGCGTTATGTCGAAGTTCCAAGTCGTGCATCATGAGTCGCACGGATCTCATATCGTCCTTGAGTGTGCGTTGATTAAGACGGTGTTGTTTGGAAAGAGTGGATAACCTCAAGTCCAGAGCTTGTGTCCAGTACGCGCCATCGGGCGCCAAACTGCAGTATAGGGACGTGAGCTCTCGCCTATTGTAGTACGCAAGTCACGTACGTATCGGCTTCAGCTGGGCCCATTGTTGTGCATATTCACTCCAATCGACGATGTCTGGCTGGACAGATGGTGAGAGTCGGAGGGAAACCAGTTGCACGCGCCACGCCGAGGGGGCGTGGCGTGAATTCGAAATTCACACGTCGCCGATCCTGGCAGTCGGGGAGCCGAACTTGTACTTGCTGGATGCGACGAATAGTGCCATAGGTCCTTATGCCCTTGTCAACTTTCTGAATGAGAACTGGCCCCAATATGTTGCGGTTCGGCAGCGTACAGCTGTTGCAATCGTATAATAACGCATGCTGTAACTTGAAGGAGACTAGCACAGAAACGCCGAGGCGCCCGAGTCTTAGAAAAGATATTATAGATTACCCTGTACAATCTTTACCTTGAGTTCCCCTCTTCGTCATCATCTTCAGCTTCTAGTGACTATCCCACATTCGTCTTCGTCTTCGCCTTCGCCTTCGCCCTCGCCCTCGCTCTCGTCCTCTTCCTCACTCTCATCTTCAACATCGTCAACCGTGTCGTCCTCATCATCATCAGATGTCGCAGGCTGGGAATGACGGTCGTGTGCATCGCCAACCTCTCCGTCCCATGAGTAGTGCTCAACATATGGCGCATACAACTGCCCGTATCCTCTCGCAAGGGAACAGTGTTTGATCGTCAAGGCTGAGATGGGGTAGCCAGCTTCCTTCCGTACCTCAAGGAGTTCCACGAGACAATGCGGCAAGGCATCGTATCCATCACATTCGCTGCTATAGCAGCCAAATGAGATATCTTCCAAGGAGAGGCTGCGTAGGACGGGGAAGAGAATCTCAGCACCGTCAATGGGGAGCTTCTCCTCTCCACGTAGCAGGTCGTTACTTAAAACCGAATCGACGACCTTCCTAGGTACACTCTCCAGACACAGCATCTCGAGACCTGTCGCATAAATGATCGGGCTTCCGTTCCACCAAAGTAAGCCCGACCAGGCTCCAGAGAACCTTAGGTCACGCCACTGCGATTTGTCTAGCGCCGCAGATATATCATCAAAGAGATCATCCAACTCTGGGTGTATAGCTTGGAGAGAATCAGAGTTAGGTATACGGACGCGTAATCCGGGGCTTAGGTCGGGGCGTGTTTGAGACTGAAGCTCGGGGTCATTGTTCGTGAGGACTTGAAGCTCGAACATATCCTCCGTGACGGACGCCTTTACAGTAGTATAATCGGAGTCTGCGAGTCTTCCACGCTCACGAGAGCGGAGAGTTGCAATGAGATCGTCTAGATCGACAAGATTGATGGTCTCATCATCTTCACGAACCAGAATATCCAGATGTGCGGCGGTCGAAAGAAGTAGGCAGTCAACCAGGAAGCAGCAGTTGCTGACTGAGCCCATGAGATGGACTTCACGGAGATTGCGCATAACAGTGCTGGGGTGTGCATCCTCATCCGCTTCTTCAAACTCTCGTATGTTCAATGAGAGATATTCCAGTGACGTCAACTTTTTTAGGCCTTCGCAAAATGCGTAAGGTGATTCGACGATTACCCTGTGGAGCGACAGCCGTGTCAGGTTTGGCGCCGTCGTACCCCACGGGAAGGGCGAGCAATGGAGTTCCACGCTACGGAGAGATATAGCGATATCCGAGAAGAACTCCTCAGATAGTTTGATGGCTCCGTCCTTCGTCCTGTCGAGCTTGATCATCAGATCGTGCAGTTGTTGCGCATCGTACCAACCGAGTCGATCGAATACGGTATCGAGTATCTCGAGGTGACGATCCGCGGTGTTCTGACTGCTGTATACGCGGAAGCTCTCGATGTGATGAAAGTCTCTAACGAGTGCGAGGGCAAGCCTGGGCTGTTCCAAGCGCACTGGCTTGCCTAGATAGTACACGGTCAAGGGCCGACCGCGGGCGCGCGCAACAAATAAGTCCCAGCGAGTTTCAGTCGATAGGTGGAACCGTGTCCACAGAGCAGGATTGTTGGTAGCTACGGTCCTCCACGAACCGCAGACGCGGGTGACATCTTCCCATTGCGTCCCGCTGAATGCCAACATTTCGAAGATGATGGATAATATTTCCGCGGGCAACTTGTGTACGGGAGAGAACACAGTGGTCCATCGAGAGCGAAAGCGACGTAGAATTTCCTCCATGGCTCTCGTCTCTGCGTAGAAATCGTCGAGATGGACGTTGGGTGACCTGGTAAGCGCCGACCACCTCAATTCTAGCGCTTGCGCCCAATATGTTGTGCTGGGCAACCTGATAACATCACGATGTCTTAGAAATCGTCTGTAATTGTGTACTCCGATCAATTTCGTACATTAATTCGGATCCATGAACGGTATCCATCCAGGAGTAATTGGTAGAAAGGACAGAGAAAGAGCAAAGAAAATGTGGATGGGAGCAGGAGGCGAACCGCGCGGCATCGACGCGTCGCGTCGAACTGGGCACTTCGCACGCGCGTCAAGACCCTGGCACGAACTTGCCTCGCACCGTCATGTACGCGATCGCTGTATACATGTACACTCTCGATAGCGGGAGGGTTACCTTCTCGTGTCATGCAGATTCTCATAATATGATGGCGTCCGGCGGCCAAGCTTTGCGCTGAACTATTTGACGCGGGATATGCCCGTTTACCCGAAGCTGACTGGCTTGTGGCCCTTGGAAGACTTCCATCCAAGCTGCACGCTCACTTTTACATATTTCTACGGTGCTCTGGAGCGGTGCGAACGCTCACAGTTCTCCACATGAGCATTAGAGAGTATTCCCCACGCGAATTCGGCCCTCTTCGCGAAGAGCTTTGAAGAGGTGATTTGCTCCACGGCGCCACAGCGATCGGGCCCGCCACGCCGTTCGCCTCGTCCGCGCGACCCCGTCCATCCGCCAGCCCCAGAGACCCGCCATCGTATTTGGTGGACCCGCGCGGCTCTACGCATATAATTTTCTTGAAGAAAGACGAAGGGGGCGGCATAGGGCAGACCAAGCAAGTCGACCCGGCAGGACACGGCGATCAGCAAGCCGCCTGATGGCCATCATTCGAAGAGTTCACACTCGCAGAGGCTCGATTTCGGCGTTGGGAATACTCTCTAATCACGCGTCTGCTATCAGCTATGCCTGCTATCCAAGTAGCTTCGACACGGTCGCTGATCTGCTTGGCAACGAGCTGTCTTCTCGAGATGATCTCAGTGGGTGCGAAGTGGGCATACGCGTTTGAAACCCCGCATAGTCCGGATAGAAGGGCGCAAGGCTATATGCGCATTGGGACCGTCGCCGTACGCAGTTCTTCTGATTAGGGGCACATATAGTGATGAGGGAAGAAGTCGAGGAGAGAATTCGAAGACGAATCCGCCGACGAGGGCGGTTGGTCCGAAAGCAGAAAGTCCCACAGCGCCGTCGCCGCATGAGCTTGAATCAGCGCGGACTGCAACAGCTCCCTAAGCGAGCGCCAGCAGCTCGCATCCACCTCGACGTTTTGCCTCCTGCTCCCATCACGTCTCGCGTATACACTTGAACGCACAGATCTGAACGTGCTCTATCGTAGATCTTGTCTGAATAAGGATGGTGCGAGAATTGGACTTGGTCGGCCGACCATGTACTGAGTGCGCCACAGTACGGCGGTGACCGTCTTGAACAACTTGTGCTTTCGGGCGAGCTCTTCGCTGGGCCTGCGTCGCGCACGGCATCTCCCACGCGCTCAGCGAGTCCTGATGCCGCCGAAGCCGAATGGCCGCCATCTGACGCCGATGCTGACGGCTCTGAATATGAATATTCGACGACAGTCGGCAAAGGTCACGTTCCAGTCTCGCACGGCCACGGGGAGGACGAGGAGAAAGGGGAGAGCATCGGGATGGGACCTGGGCGCACCGGTGTCAAGGGCGTCATCCGCGACCGCGCCGAGGCCGAGCGTCGGAAGCGGGACCGAGCGCGCGGGGATGCCGCGGCATTGGCGGCCCGGATGGAGAAGGCCAGCTTGGGCGGCCTGACGTTCAATGAAGAACAAGCGCTGGCGCAGAGGGAACGCGGCGCAGACAAGCGCTCGGGCCGTTTCGGGCATTTGCGCGAAGTTGGCGAGCACGGCTTTCTGCACGCGATCGAGGACGAACAGCGCGCGACATGGGTTGTCATACACATTTATGAACCCGGGCTCGACCGGTGCGATGACCTCGATGATGTTCTCGTTCGACTTGCGCGTGCACACCCGGATACCAAGTTCTTACGAGTGAGAGCCTCTGCGCTCGGCTTTGCGACTACGCCCAGGAAACACCGCTCGAATGGGGCTTTCAGGAGACCAGCACGAGCGATCAGGGAAGTCGAGGAGGAGGATGATCCATATGGCGTTCCCGAGGATGATGGTGCTGGTGCCGACGAAGAGGACGACGACGTCGATGTGGACACCGACATGCTCCCCACGATGCACGTCTATCGCGGAGGCGATATTGTTCACAACTGGGTCCGCGTCGACTGGGAGGCAGGACCTCAAGGGCTTGAGGACCTTCTCGCACGGTATGTGTACTTTCATCTGGCATCTCACGGACTCATCCTGATGTTTGGGCGAGCAGACACCGCATCATCGAGGGTGGCCGGGGAGCGGCTCTCGACGACGAGGCAAACGAGATGACGTTCAGTGGAATCCTCTAGCTTCAGATCGGCTTCACTTTCATTTTTGGGGTCCTTGTCGTTTCGCGGAAGACTATCTACGCATTTGTATACCACGGAATACGGACAGTTATAGACTCTCATCTTCTCGCTACGTTATCTGACAATCACAGCCTGGTATTGTCCTAGGCACTGCGGGGAATTTACGGTGTCAGGTAGACATGGGTAAAAGAATACCGACTCTCGCTACCTCTCGGCTCTTTGTCTGAATGTACCCCGCACTTTCAAGGTGGGTCGGATTGAATGGCGAAGGACACCAGGACGGTTTACTCGAGCACGGAACATCACCTACTTTTAGACCGCGTCGAGCCGATCTCGGCTCTGCGTCAGCGTTCAGGAATGCCTGTACGGACGGTGCCAGAAACAGCACTCATGCCCTCGACAGGGATCAACGGTCGGCGGGAGGTATGTCCGGGCACTTCTCCGTACGACATGCGCTGACGCAGCTCTTTGCAGCGTCTCGCGCGCATCGTGACCCGCGGATTCTCCCGCCACCAGTGGCCGCACACGTTCGGTGATTGCGCTGCTAATTCTCGGAAATGCCTCACATGCGGATATGGCTCGCGAAGCCACCCTTCTCGGCACGCATGTTCCCTCGCTACCTGAGCGCTGTTTGAACACTGCCCGTGACGCACAACGGGCGACCTTCGCGCGGATAAACATCTCGTATACGCCCGGCGAGGATCCGCCGCACGCTTGGGCTCTTTCTGCATGATCAATAGACTGAGGTCACGACCGCGCGCCTCAGTGTAAGCAGCATACAGTCTCATTCGCATCCTATGCATCGTCCTATATAACCGGAAGACGCCTCGGCGAGTCAGTTCCCCAAGGACAACACCTCGGAAGTGTTCATTCTAGTCCTCGCCTAGGTCCTCAAGACTCTACTCGTCCGAGCAAGCAGAAGCAATGATTGGCCTCGTCTCTCTCGCTCTCGCCGCCCTCCCGCTGGCCCGCGCTCACGGTGGTGTGCTGTCCTACTCGATCGAAGGTACATTGTACCAAGGTTGGGCGCCTTACAACTCGCCCACTGGTCAGACGACGATCCAGCGCCCGTGGTCGACGTAGTGAGTGTTTGCCGACTTCTCACTATCCCATCTTGTGCCATCCCGACATCGCAGCATGCACTCCTGCATGCGCCTTTTAGGCTTTCTTCTGGCTTTCTTCCACGATGTTTCTCCATTGCACCATCTTGCACCATCTTTGATGTTCTTCGCCCCCATCCCTTGTTCCGCGTTTTGTGCGGGAAGGAAGAGAAGGATAGCAGACACTGATACACTTCGCGCTATAGCAACCCCATCACCGACGCCACAGACCCGACGATCGCCTGCAACGACGACGGCTCTTCCGGCGCGCTCCAGCTCACCGCCAACGCGAAGGCTGGCGACAAGATCACCGCCTACTGGAACCAGGTCTGGCCCCATGCCATCGGTCCCATGGTACGCATACGCTTCGTTCCTCCTCGCAATTCGAATCGCTAATCTGACTTTGGTAACTCACAGCTCACGTACCTCGCGCAATGCCCGGGCAGCACTTGCACCGGCGTCGATGCGTCCACGCTCAAGTGGTTCAAGATCGACGAGGCTGGTCTCATCAGTGGCTCCGCCGCGTCCGGCACCTGGGGTGACGGTCTCATGATCGACAACAACAGCTCTTGGACGACCACGATCCCGTCCAGCATCCCCAACGGCGACTACCTCATCCGTTTCGAGACCATCGCGCTTCACTCGCTCCCCGCACAGTTCTACCCCGAGTGCGCTCAGCTCCACATCACTGGTGGCGGCAACGTCGCGCCCACGGCCGCTGAGCTCGTCTCTTTCCCGGGTGCCTACAGCAACTCTGACCCTGGCCGTACGTCATATCTCCATGCTCAGATAGTTGCCAGGTCCTGATGCTTCGAACAGTCTCCCTCAACGTCTACACGAACGAGGCCGCGGCAATGACCTGCTACCCGATTCCGGGCCCGCCGCTCTACTCCGGTGCCCAGTCTTCGTACCCTGCCCCTTCGGTATGGCATCATCCTCCTTCGTTCCATGCATCGTGAACTAATAGCGAGATAGTGCGCGTCCACTGGCTCCGGCTCCGGCTCCAGCTCTGGCGGCTCTGGCTCTAGCGGTTCCGCGACCGCAAGCGCTCCGGCGGCTTCCTCCACGAGTGCCGCGGGTACCGTTGCTCAGTACGGCCAGTGTGGCGGTACTGGATTCACCGGCGCTACTGCGTGGTACGTTCCTCTTGCTTTGTACTTTTTCTGGGCTATACTTGAGCCGGGCACCCCGTGTGGTCGGCGAAGTACTTCTCGCCGGGGCTCGCCGCCTTCCCCTTCTCTGCATCCTTCTCTCCGCTCTACTACGGAGCTGACACATCTCACAGCGTCTCGCCGTTCACCTGCCACGTCGTCAACGGTACGTCCGATCTTTCTTACTGCACTGTACGCGCGACAACTGACTGGTCCACTACAGAGTACTACTCGCAGTGTCTCTGATCGTCTTCTCTCACGTTGATCGAGGGTGATGTAGAATAGGCGTGAAGCGCCTGGCTTGGGGTAAAATGAACGTACTTCGCCTGTATTGTAAGCTGATCGAATTGTATTGCGTTTTCCTTGAGGCAGCCGCGACCCTTGAAAGGAGGCCAGCGAAGAAGAAGTGAAAAGCCAACGCTCGGTTACTTGTTTCCTCATCAGGCTGATACCGGTACGTGCCCGATGCCCTTGAAACGCGAACTGGGAAACGAGGCAGGAGGTTACCATATGGGCATACCCGCGAGACCGCCCAAAATGGTATGCCCGAGGTCCATGGATCCATGCCCGAGGTGTGACTGGAGCGGTTACGGTCTCTCGCCGTGGCTTGGCTGGTGGTGTGACGCTGCACAGTCAGAGTCCGTGCGGCTGTCTTTTGCGCTGAGACTGAACCGTGACCGAGAAGCTTTCCAAAGGGTAGTGAGTATGGTCAGGCGTAAGCCAGTGGCGAGTGTGTATAAAAGATGTTCGACGGGGATGCACTCCGAGACCTCCAGGCATTCGAGCCACACACGCTCAAGTGCAAGCCGCGCATAATCCTTTCGTCTGTTCGAGATGTCTCAACCAATCGTCCTCTACGATATAGCCATGGCTGGAGAATCACCCTCTGAGAAGGCCTGGTCACCCAACTCCGTGCGTCGCCTTTCGTCCTAGCGCATATATGCATGCTCATTCTCCCCTTTATGATGCCCGACAGTGGAAGACGCGGTGCGTTCCCTTGATTCAGCGGCGCACTCTCTACACATCTCTCATCCTATACACAGGATTCTGCTCAACCTGAAGGGCCTGTCACACAGAACCGAGTGGATGACCTTCACGCAAACTCCGAAGACTATTTCCGCACTGGGTCTTGGGCCACGCGAGACTTCGGATCCGCGCAAATACACCGTCCCGACCATCTACGACCCCTCTACGGACCGCGCGGTGATGGGCAGCCAGGCTATTGCCAGATACCTTGAGGACCAGTACCCAGACTCGCCGGCAGTTCTTCCGGCGGGCACGCGCGCGTTGCAGGCCGCGTTCTATAACGAGATTTCGGAGGCGCTCATCGTGCCTATCTTCACGTCGCTGGTTGGCAAGCACCTCGAGAAGACTCAGGACGTCGATCGCGACTACTTCCGCAAGTCCCGCGAGATCATCTTCGGCTGCACGTTCGACGAGATAGCGCCTAAGGGCGAGAAGGTGCAGGCTGCGTTGGATCAGATCACCTCTATTCTCGGCCGTGCTGCGAGTTACATTTCGGAGGGCCGAGGGAGGTTCGTCGGAGAGAACCGACCGCTGAACGCGGATGTAAACCTTGTCGCGATGCTGATCTGGGCGACGACCGTCGGCGAGGGCACCGCGGTGGCCAAGACGGTCCTCGAGGCTGATGGCGGTCGCTGGGCGGAGTACATGCAGGCTTTCGAAAAGTGGAAGTCGTTCCATTGATGCGTATTGGCGCTCGGGATGCGAAGGCTTGCGTTGAAGCTAAGTCTACTTGATTGACTATGGCGTCAACCAAGCGTCAAGTGTCGGAATATAGTACAGAGCGTCGTATATTGTTGTTATATGCTACCTGTATCATCTGCCACAACGAAACCGTACTACCCTATCTTTCAGTGCTCCCGTATCGAAATCCCTTCTGCCTTGGAGATATGGGTCCAAGGAGGGTGGGTGCGGTACCAGCATGACGACGTTGCGTATCAAACGACGTCTGTCATGCAAACACTGCCCATGGGGAAGTCCGCGAAGGCCCAATAGTTGACATCGGAGCCTTTACATTCTCCGGACGATGCGACGGCGGGTCGGTACCTGGTCGGGCTCCGTGTCTGGGTCGGAGTTGGTGGCGCGATGTGTTGTGTGTAGCAGAAATGATCGCATGAGTCGATATCAACGTCGTTAGTGTTGTCGATGTCGGAGCAGGCGGCGAGGCACCCGCCGGCGACGCAGAGTCCGTTGAACTTGCTAGTAGTGTCAGAGCAAACGAAACATACGACAGACAGCTTTTGGAGTGAACACTGGAGCCTCGTCTCGGTAGTCGCTCTGTGTGAATCACCTGAGTCTGCCCCGAACAGCCTTTTCGACTGCACCAGTGATAGAGCACTTGTCGTCGAAGCTCTCCGGTTACTCCTGGAGTGCCTACTCCTCGATCATCCTGTCATGTCAAATTCGGGATGGTGAGAGTAAAAGGCAGATGACAAGCACGGACGTGCATTGCGTGACCAGGAAAGTGTTTGAGGAACATAATTTAAGATTAGAAAAATGAGCCACAGCCCGCCTAGCTCAATCGGATAGAGCGTCAGACTCTTACGTATAGGCGGGATAATCTGAAGGCTGCGAGTTCGACCCTCGCGGTGGGCTATGTTTTTAGTTCCTTATAGCACTACTGAGTAACTGGGACAAGTTACGTTCGACCTTTCTGACCATGCGATCTTTCTCTTCAGTCAATTTGGATTTTATCTTATTTTTCATCTGTCCCAATACGACACTATGAGGAATATATTGTGGAATTCGCGAGTCGTCATCATGTACACGTCATCAAATAGCAATAGATACATTGTAGAGGATGAGTAACCAAGTATCAGCACAACTTGAGCAGATGGACTCTCTCTTCCCTGACAGCGAATAACAGAATATATCGAATGCCCTCCGCACGCCGCTTATTCACTGCCTCGCGTATCTGAAGCGCATATACCGGGTTCGGAATAGGGAAGCTAGCAATGACTGCCTTCCACGCATCTTCGTCGCCTAGCCAAGACGTCGAACGGCATAATAGGTCGAAGGTGCTCGCCGATACGTCAACAGCGATGAGTGGCATCCCCTGTGACGCTGCGGCACGTACTTCGCCCGCCAGAGAGTATGCGCGTTCTGAGAACAACGTGCTGCTTTTCTTTGCCCCGCCCTTGCCTGCGAAGAAACCCTTCTTCGTATCCGCGGGCAACACCAGTGCGACATCTTGGATGCCGTTTCCAGCTGCCTTGCCCGACCCAAAACCGATGCTCGCAGACGGAACAATGGGTGAGGAGTCCGCTCGCGGCGGAGCGCCCGCAGTCGTTGCATCGACTCGCTTCTGCTCTGCGAGTTCATGCTGAAGCCAGCGTACGAGCTCCGCGCGGGATACTTCATGTACCTGTCCTGTTAGCAGGTTCTTGATCTTGAAGAGGGCCTGAGCTGGACCGTGATCCTTCCTCGCGCGCTGCGGCCAGAGACAGAACAGGATGCCCTCCTTACTGCAGAGTTCCATGAACTCATCGGGCGCGCCGCCAGACTCAAGCGCACCCTCATACATCAGGTCCGCCGCGATGCCGTGTCGCCACAAGAGGGTCGCAAGCTCAAGACGTTCCTCTAGATGGCCCGGTGCATAGCTGACGATATACACGTCGCAGCGACGGTAAGTCCAGTATCCGAAAGAGCGCTGCTCCTTGATCAGCCGCTCTATAGACTGCGCTTGATGTTCGCCGACATAATTGATTATCTTCTCTACGCTGACTTGCATTCCCACGCTGCAGATTGCCCGCTGCGCGGCAGCATCGCCTGTCGAGGGAGCCAATGCAAGCTGAGAGATTAAGTGGTCGTATCGTCCACCAGCCGCCAGTACGTCACCCCGTCGACCGCGCCGCACTATTTCGAAGCAGACGCCGCGCTTGAACTGCGACATATGAGGGCCGTGCATAAGAGCGTGGAAGTGGATCGGACGCGATATGGACAACGCCGCAAACTCTTTCACTTGCCGGATGTCCGCGAGGTGCGGTCGCAGTGAATCAAGGAGAGTGGGCGCAACCTTCCCAAGCCGAGTTACGACGAAGTCAAGCTCTTCGTCTATCGCAGACGTCGGTCAGCGGCGCGCAATCCGGCTCTATGAACAACTAGCTTACCGCATTCGTCCAGTACTTCAAGCTCGTCGACGACGCTCCGCAAAAGACCTTTCTTCACCAAGAGTGCACGTTTCTGGGACCAAGAAGACTTGCTTTGGGCAAGAATATCTAAGGCTGCCTGACGTGACTTCTCGGGGATACGTTCCAGACACATGTCGACAACTGAACGGAGATGAGTAAAGTATCAAGCGGGAGAAAGGTATTGTCAGGGTAGGCTCACCGGCGGAGTGCGAGATACGGATCTCGTATAGCGCAGACAACCCAGGAAAGACATCCAAGATCTCGTTCGCAACTATGATGCACTCTGCTACAGAGACATTCGCACCGCTAGCAACGTCGTGTGCGATGATATCGAAGGTTGCCGCCTTGCTCGTGATGGGATGACCCGCAACAGGCGCCGGGCGGTATACGTCACCGATGTGGAAGCGCTTGATGCGGTTGAGGCCAGCGCGAGCAGCAAGACGCGCGAAAGGCATCAGAGCGTCGTTCGGTAGAGCAACAATCTCGCCATGACGGTCAATGAAGGTCGCGCGATGTTCCGCGTCATCCGAGTCTAAAAACGGTGCAAGCAAGGGCGGCTCGACCTCGTGCGCTCCGTGCAGGCGTAGCATACCCGCTAGGGTATCGCGGACAACCCATGTCAACGGGTGAGGCTCGGCTATCTGGTCGTATAGCGCCGCACGCACACCATTTGAGCGATGTTCAAAGAGGGCGTCGATCGTTGTCTGATAGTGCGCTGAATCCGGTTGTGCTACGAGGGGTGTTCAGCGTTATTTCAGCGCACGACTGAGGAGACATACTCATCAGCCGAAGTGCGCCTTTGAAGTGCTCTTCCTCAACGTTGTAAGGCATCAGACTACTGCGGAGAAGCTCGAGGGCTGTCGGACGCTTATCCGGATCGTGCTGTACCAACCAAGTAATGACTGCGAGTAATCAGTTCAAGAGGTCATAGAAAGCGCTAAACCGATACGCACTCTCCCGCTGCCGCGTACGCTTAGGATCCCAGTCAGATGGGAAACGTATCTCGGGCCGCCGAAGGTCTTCAAGCACCTTGATGCGCTCGGCTCCAGTACTGACTCTAAAGTTGAGCTCGAAGAATACAATCTAGAGTTGCTTATAAGCGTTCGTCACCATAATACTCATGGTCTACTCACTCCCACACTATAAATGTCTGCCTTGGGGTGTACAACACGATTTCGCTTTTCACCAGGCTTCTTCGGAGTCTTCACTGACCGCGACATGACCTCTGGCGCTATGTAGAGGCGTGTACCAACCTCTATGTCATATTCAGTGAATGCTATGGACGCGGACATTTGAGTCACACACCTGATGTCATATCTGGCATAGCGGAATCATTGAATGGCGAAGGTGCAGGATCTTCGGCGATCACACTCAAACTTGACGTAGCTAGGCCGAAGTCGCCGACTTTGCAATTGCCTTCGTTGTCTATGGGGCACATGTAAGCTTCATACAATCATGGGCATGCGACATCATTATACCGATGAAGATATTAGAAGGCTTGATGTCACGATGGATGATGTTGAGGCTCTCCATATGAACGAGTGCCTCTACAACCTGTCTGAATAGCCGCCACGCTGTGTCCTCGACGATGCCTTGCTTGACGAGCTGACACTAGGTGAGATAAAGATACTGAGAGCCGGATGAAGAGCGCACATCTTCCAATGTTTGGTTCGGCACATATTCCTGGGCCGTGGTCAGTACGCGGCGCTGGTGGGAGTGAAGTTGGCATACCATCTGGATGTATAGGATACGTGGGATCTGTTTTGGTACATCCGGAGGATGATTCGTCTTGATGGTCAGAGCAGGTGGCAACCTGCTCACTGTACCACCAAGTATGAGATCGTCCACTTCGTCACTCTCGTCACTATCGACATCAAAGTTGACATCAACGCTGGTCCCGCCACGACCTGAGCCAGACCCGAAGTAGATACTGGGGAAACTACCGGTGGACTTGGTCTGGGTCTTATCAAGCTCGCTCAGGTCGGGGCGGAAGGGATCGGTGAACGCCACCAGGTCGTCTTCATACTCGTCCGAGCTCGAACCTGCGACTACCGGTGATCGCTCGTCCATGTCCGGTATGCGAAATTGCGACACCTTCCGCAGCTTCGGCGGCGGGAGCAGACCTCGCGAACCGTTTGCGCCTCCAGCGCCATTGCGGCGGGCCACATACGAATCTTCGCGTTCAGTCTCCGTACCGGAACCCCAACCGTCTCCACTGTCGCTACCGGTCCTCTCGTCATCCGTCGGAGATAAAGGCGCCGCCTCCTCAAGCCACGTGGAGTGGTACCGAACGATGTGCTTGTGAGATAGTCGCGATAGCAGCTGCACCTCGCGGAATAGCTTCAGGTTCTTCTTGTCCTCCTTGCCTCGCGCATCGACAGATTGAGGACTCAGACGAATCTTCTTGACTGGATCATCACAATCAGCAAGTATCGCGCGGATGGATCACATGGTTGCTTACTAGCATATACATGTCCGTCTACTCGATGTTCGCACTTCATAACCTTGCCGAAGCCGCCCTGACCGATCTCTTCGAGCTCTCTGAAGTCTGTGGCGTATCGACTTCTAGACTCCGGTTGCTCACTCCGTGCGTGAATGGGCGCCTGGACTGGTGGCGAACTGATTGCCATCTGCGGTCCGCGGAAATAGTCGAGTTCGGGCGAACTCCCATAGTCTGCCTGACGAGGCGTCTGCGGATCATGATCTACCGGATCACGTGAGACGATTGAAACACAAACGCGGGCTAAAACGTACGTATGGATATCGGCGACGTGGTAGCGCCGGCTGTCACTGTGCGGTTGGAGTTGTGGCCGTACTTGGTGATCGCCTTCAAGATAGACTCGCAGGAGGCCGACTTCTTCGCGTAGCAGAGGGCACTGACGTGGTGAGCGAGCATGGGAGGTGGTCTGGCTAATGTTTGACGTCAGGGAAGGGTGACAGTACATGCAGAAGATGCTACGCACGCATAATCTGTTCCAAAGCACTGCGCGGAGTCTGATACTCGTCGATGACCGTAAGGCCAAGTCCCATTTGAAGCATGATCACCCCGGCGCCATGCAGATCTCGCAAGCGGGAATAGCGCAATATGCTTTCCGCTTCATCGTGCGATCGCCATCCCTCGCTGAAACGATAGATCTCCGAGATACTTGTGTGCATATACGGGCCGAACTGGTTCGAGCGATGAAGGTCAAGCAGCTTGATGAGGTAGGCAGAGTTCATAAGTTTAACACGCTTCTGAAAGGAGCCTCGAGGACCGTTCGCAAGCCCTACGCTATGTACGACCATAGCTGGTGTCATATGAGCGTGATTTCAATGCTTATACTGAGTGCGCAGACTCACCCCGATGCAATAAGTCCGCCTTGTGCACAGCACCCAGGGCTCGAAGAACTTGCTCAAGATACTCAGCCGCACGTTCAACCCTGATGGTGTTGTTGTCGGCCAGGATATCGTACAGAGTCAGCTGAGGACGCTCGTCCATGAGGATGGCGAGGCGTGGAGAGCCGGATAGGGGAGTCTCGAGTTTGACAGCATGTATCCGGTGTAGGTTCTCGTGACGAATACTAATGAGACGACGAAGTTCTGTCTCCACGCCGCGCAACTTCTTCATACCCTGGCCATTGGCATAGTATGGGTTGGAGATCTCGACTGTGTGCACCTCGAGCGGAAGAGTCGCGTGCGCGTCATCACATACGGGCTCTGCCTTCCAAATTGTCCCCAGAGGGTCGCGACGCACGGTGTTGTTCGGGACCTCGTCAGTTATGCCACGATACGCGAGATCCTGTTCGATACTCGGGCGGTCGACGGACGCAGAGCGCGGGTGAAAGAGCTTGACGGTACGAAAACGTATGTTGTCTATGACGAGCCAATCATCAAACGTCTCCATCAAGGTACCCGAGTCGTCATGCACCTCCACTACCGTCGATGCAACTGACTTCGCGCGCGCTCGTGCGTGGAACCGCTCCAGCTCTTCCTGTTGCCGCACAGAGTTCGCTTGAACTTCGTCATTGAAGGCCTCGATACGCCGCCTCTCTAGCTCTGCAGCTTGCTGTGCCTCCGCCTCCTCGCGTTCTTTGCGTGCCTACGAGAGTGTGAGTCGGGTGCGACTGGCTGGGGACATCGTCGAGGTCACGTACCCTCTCCTCCTCCTGCGCCCTCCGCGTCATCTGAAGAGCTAGCGAGCCCACTACTTCAGTCGGTGGCTCGATGTTACTTTCCAACCACTCCTGCGCAAAGGTGGCGATCTATCATCACGTACAATTAGACGCCGCAGGTATTCCTCAATGGATCACGAGGGCACACACCGAGAACACCATCTCCTCGCCGATAGTTGACTGTGCGACCTCGGCATTGATAGCTTGGGATAACTTGGTCATTTGTGAGGGGGTCAACCCTTTCGCCGGCTGCTGGACAGCAAAGGATGCGCGAGCATGATTCGGGTATGTCTTTGGGAAGCTGAGAGGCATATGAGATTCCATACTCTTACTATGGGCGAATGATGTGATCACGTTGTGTGTAGGCAGAAGTAGGTCTTATCCGGAGCACTAGGATGGGATATGCGGATCTTGAATTCGTGAAGTCTGGCTGCGCCCTGCCACCGAAACTGCAGTTGGTACATGTGGAACGCTCAGCTCAATGCAGTACGGACCTTCCACGCTCTTGGCGGGGGGCAATCGATGAAGTCGTTGTCGTAGATAGATTTGAGAGCCGTGATTTCGGTTTCTTGCTTCTCCTGCGTTGTTGGGTCCATGGTGTTGTCGGTGAAGGCGGTGGCCGATGGTGGCACGGAAGGAAAAAGCGTTGCTCGAGAGGGGAGGGCCCAAGGGACCTCGGCAGCTCAAGCGTACATGACTCTTTGTTCTCGAGAGGTAATTCTGGTTGTGATCGTGGTTGTGAACGAGAACAAAGCGCGGCCACCAGTGCACGCGCGTCAACACGACCTGACGGTAGGAGTCAGGGTGACATCGCGCGCGAGGCCGTTACCCCTTCTCTCCGTGACAGCACTAGTCCGATCAGTGCCTGGCTTCCACCGTCATCGATCATCTCCCACTCATCTCGAACTCAGCCATTGTTCTCCCAAATTGGCACTGGCAGAGGAATCAGAATTGCCCGACTTGTCGCGCATCACATCTTTTGTTGACACACGGACACCCCCGGATGAGATGCACTCACAACTCACCGTTTGCTATCTCTCACCAAAGGTAGCGCTTCTCGTACCGCCCACGTATTGGTATCCGTCGCAGGGCGCACAAGAATTTGGATTGCACTTGCCCGGAAGAGTGTCGATGAACACCTGGATGCGTACTCGCTGCAGAAAAATGAGGTTTTTCGTTTTTCAACCTTGCTGATGCGCCTGTGGAAAACTTTGTGAGGCTACTCGCCGAACCGGCTCGGTGGGGTTGGGTTGTCCACGTTAGCAGGATCCTATCAGGGGTCCAACGTGGTTTGTCGCTGGCGTGGTTGACCTTCGGGGTGGTTGACGATTGATGCGCCGGGTGCAAGATACTATATAGATCGCGTCCAGAGACTTCACGTTTTACCGCACTTCCTATCCCGAAGCCCACCGAGCGCGTCCATCGTTGATCTTGAATGTAAGCTCATGTATTCATCTCGAGTGAGGCGTGACTGACGACGTTCTCTATCTCAAGCATGGCTGATGCAATTGGTGCTATGGTGCACACGCCCTCTGCCATCATTTTCGATCACATTCTGGGCAGTCTGTCCTCTAACTTCACCGATCCACGAACATTCATCCTTGCACTTCGTCTGGCATCCGTTAGCAAAGCCTGGCGTCGCGCCTTTTTGCAGACGGACCTCGCTTCGCTCATCACCATCTCCGGCTTCAGCTATCCATTCCAGACGCCGGCCCTCCTCGCCAGCCCCCAGGCTGACACTCCACTCGAAGTGAAGATCGATATTCGAAAGTTGCTCCCTTATCCTGGGGTGGCCCGCACAGTGCTCGCACACGCAGTTTCCAGGCTCCGTCTTGTATATGGGCGCATTACCACCCTCACTATCGTCAATCATGAAGCGGACAACCACGATTTCGACGTGAACGCCGTTCTCAACAACCTCTTCACACTCCATTTCCAAAGCCCACCCACGTTCGTTCTTGACTTCGGTGATCGCCTCTATCGTTGCGCGACCCCCATCGTCGTCCTTCTCGGCTCGGCGTTCAGTATCAGCGTCCGCAACGCTTTCATCTACTACGATACCCTCCGGTTTTCCCGATCACTAAGCCGCCTGTCCATCACAAAGATCTCTTGCCCATCTCAGCGCATTTCCATATTCCTCTTACACAAGGTCCTTCCCGCTCTCGCCGAAACGCTGGAAATGCTTGAGCTCGACCACGCGGTGGATTGGAGGATGGTGGATATCGGGGTCACTGCATGGAATCTACCGCCTGTAAAACTCGTTGCACTGAAAAGCCTCTATCTGGGGTATCAGCTTGTACATGAGGCCATTGCGGTCATGTGTTGCATCGACATTCCCAACGTCGACACGTTATCCATACGCGATGGCGCGCGCGACTTGCGCAGTCTACAATATGTGAACAACTCGACGGCCCTCCTCTGCCTCATCGCCCGGAAGAAGGAGGATCACGAGTTTTGCGTCCGCCTAAGCCTGGAGAACGTCGTATTCGACAACGTAGTTGTCAAGGAGAACGGCGAGCGCCTTGCGAGCTACTTCCTCAACGCCGTGTGCGCCGCCGACGTTCTGAACCTCCTGTACGACATCGACATTGGGCATAATGCCATTCCCTTTCTCAAGGCGATGCGGGTCGCCAACATCGCCGTCGCCACCAAGTATCTTCGCATCAAAGGCGTCGACTACGAGTGCGCAATGTCGGAACTTGTGCACCGCTTTGTGCGTATCACGGGCGACACACGCGATCTCGATGCTGCCATCCTGGAACCTTGTTATGTGGACGTCGTGCACTTCAATATGAGCGATCCTGACGTCGCAAGCGACTATATCGGGCACTTCGTTTCATCCGGGCTACAATCATCGCTACGCGTTCGCGGCCGAGCCGAGGCCGGCCCTCAATGGGAGCCATCGTCCCCTCACTCGCGCGAATGGCACACGCCTGTGGCAGATGAGCATGGCATGATTGATTGGCGAGCATACCGTTTCTCGCCAGACGCGCAGATGGTTCTAGATGAGGAGATTGGAGAGGTCTTTCACGTCGATAAGGTAGTGGAGCTTCTAATGAAGGAGGATGTCCCTTAGGGGCTCATATCTGCTACAATGTCTACGAAAAGACATCGCGGCGTGACTTTCTCAATCTACTTTCGTCATGACAATGTATCCGCATGTATTATACTGTTCGTAGAAGCCAATATGCTATTGCCCATGGTCGGTGGTCATTCCGCGCCGTCCGCCAGCCGTGAGTTGAAATGAATGCTAGAGTTAGCCGTGGGCGGTACATTGACACTGCGTTGCGGCGATATCAGTATGTGAGTTACAAAGGGTGAACTTGAAGCATGGTACCTGTCTGGCTTATGTTCGTAGTCAGTAAGACTGCGGTACAACCTGGTAGCGCATATGCACCTTCGACAAATCAGTACATTCTGCGTCACCATGATGGAGGAGATGAAGTGGACACTCACAGAGCAGAAACTTCGAATGGGTGCAACATCTATGAAACCGATTCAGTATAGGGCAATAGATAGCTCATAGACATACAATCGTTAGAGTATCTATCATAGGTATAAGCACATCAGAGGCGGTACCGTAGTAGATTAACTCCCAAGATTCAAGTGCTGACCATTCAGGTTGAGTGCGACAAGCACGACCGTCGGAACTTCGGCGATCACCACGAGTGTGAACCACACCAAACCCTATCAACCCATCACCTACAAGAACGAAAGATGTTCACAAGGAAGGCTGACCTGACGATAGAGAAATCTGACAATCCCGGAGTGGCGGGCTTCCTCCATTCTGAGCAAACCAACGAGCATCAGCGAAACAAGAATGACGTCTGTGACCAGTATTCCTATCCCGTTGGGTAGGAACTTGTACGTAGAGACAGCTGTACATGCATCTATATTGCTATCGTATCTGGCGCGCACCTGTGAGTCCGCCAATGAGCCTCCTGGATCAGATGCGATGGCTACATGCAACTTTTACCAAGGATGCATCTCTCATGTTCAATGCGAAGCTCGCGCCGATCATGGCGTAGGAAAGGATCTTGATTGGCTTCCTGTGCTCCCATATGGCAACGCTGAAAGTAGATGGTCCTCGTAAGCATCGCTCTCCAGTACCAGAGTGTCTAACGCACACGCGAAGCGCAATCAAAACCGATGCTGCACCAATAGCAAGATAAGCAAACAACTGTATAGATGGTCAGTCGCGCCCTCTTGAATTCGTCCAAAGGTGCCGAGAGCTACTCACTGCACAAACGAGGAAGAAGGTCTGCATCCTGTGAATTGAGATTCGCCGACGAGGTTGCGACACTCACCGTGCAATGGGTTGTAATACCACCGTTCTGCTGAACCACCAAAGTGAATAGCCAGAGCATCAAAAAGAATCGGCAGCTGGAGTAGATCTACACAAGATTGGTCAGTATATGCGAGGAACCTTCGAAATCAGTTACTCGCCCAAATAGACCACAGGTACCTGCGCTTCCCGAGCCAAATATCCAGTTCGTAGTCAAAGGTGGAGAGATACTCCCAGCTAAAACGAGATTAGAAGCTGGTAGGGGATTGCCTGACGTTTTGATTGGATCTCTCTCACATGGCAATGCCTAATACAGCGTGGAAAACCCTCAGAAAGACGACTGGGTGCCAAGGTCAGGAAGTTCGTTACTCGGGTGGAACAGTGACTGCATGCGCTCACGTGAGTCTTCGGTTTGGTCTGGCAGTTTCCAATCGAGTGACATTGCGTATATTGGTCCTACAAGGTATGCGAGCGGGTTCTCCGATACTGAAGCGCGAGACCAAGACGGTAGGAAGCTTATATACCCGGTAGTACCCTCACAAAAGGCGAGAATGTTGACTGCGCCACGAAGATGGCACCACAAAACCAAGTGGATACGACGACACAACTTCCTTGTATAAGGTTACAAGGTTACTGAGATCCGAGAACTCGCATACGTTTCTTGATGTGACTACAGTCGCACAGCATGGCGGTGTGCAGGTGAGCGTCGGAGACCGATCCCAGACGGTGAGCCAATCCGGATAGTGTAAAGCAACGAATTAATTTGTCGCTAGCAGTCAAGACGGAAGTCAAGAAGTGCTCTCATCTCATCGATGTAGACAGGACGCACGCTTCGGGTCTATACGCGCCGGGCAAGCGCCGGAAGTATCGTGACGGACGCGTGATGTCACGCGTCGTGTAGCTGGCGCGGGTCTTTGATCGAAGATGGGTGCGGGGTGAACTGCATCGGGCCCATCTCTAGACTGGCACAGCGTGAGAACCGGCTGAGATAGTCAAAGGGATGGAAACGAATACCTGGGTCCGGGAGCGAATGTGTAATCCGACAAGCCCCTATGCATACGGGTGGCGCAAATCCCTCTGTGCGGTGCCGGCCGATCGGGTCAGCGACAGCCAGACGGTAGCAGTTGTGCACTAACAGAGAGACAACTGAGAAGCATGATGAGACTGTGCTGTCTGTGTTGACAACTTCGCAAGAGTGAACATACCTTCGACAGGCTGCAGCATCTGTCATTCGAGGCATGAAGTTCGTCGCATGAGTGAGTGAAGGGCAGGGCAGAATCTACGGCTCACGGAGGTTAGAGGATCTGAGTGCAACGCAGCAATCAGCCCCAACGTTGAGCAGTGCAAGATGAACGATCACCATTCAAGTGCAATATGGCAAAGATCTGCGAGGTCCATTAGCGTGGACAAAAAGTAGCGACTTGGTCAGCGACAGGACATACTAGAGCGGGTATCTCAACTATCATGACCAAGAGGAGCCACACCACACCCTATCGTACGGTGGTTAGCACCCGATCTTCATCTCTGAGAGCTGAAGAGTCATGGCACACCTGACGATACAGGAAGCGCGCGATGCCGAAATGCCGAGCCTCGCGCATTCGTAGAATGCCGACAAGCATGAGAACGAGTAGTAGAGCATCTGATGCGAGTACCCCGGCGACATTCGGCACAAACTCGAGGGTGTCATAGGCAATGCATGAATGAAAGTCAGAGCTGTAGTATGCTCTGAGCTATTAGGACATTAGCTATGAGACCACGGAAAGGATCGCGGTATAAGAACATACGAGAGTCAAGTCTGAGAATTGAGCGTTACCGACCGATTACATAGAGAGTCGGATGACGTACCACGGATGTTTAGTACGATACTGATGGTCAATACGAGGTATGATACCACTATGATAGGCTTCCGTCTCTCCCAGACGGCTAAGCTATGAGCCGAAAGGAGATGAGATCGTCGTGCACCAACTCATGTAAGGTTTTGGCCACGCACACGCGAAAGACAATGAGAAGGGACGCAAGTCCGAGAGATACATACGAGGCGGCCTGGATGAATTCGCAACCAGGTTAGAGGGAGATCGGGCCCATGCCGCGAATGTACGCACCAAAGCGGAGATGTAGAACGCCTGTGCACGACGGTCAGCATCGCTGAAATCAAGTTCATAGTGTGACTTGGCCGCTTACTGTGCAGTTCCACGCCATCCAACCGCTCTGTTGCACAACGAAGAGGAGAAAGCATAGGAGCATGGATAGCCTACAGCCCGAGTGTACCTAGGGACCATGTCATGAGCGGACCGTGCAATTTACGGGACAGGATAGTACACACCCAAATGGTCCACAGATATCGTCTCTTCCCTCGCAGGACGGCCCATTCGTAATCGAATGTAGAAACATATTCCCAGCTGACGAGCGCCCACCTTGGTACGTGTCTGAGGCGATGCGATTGTTTTACGCACATAGACGCTCCTATGCAGATATGTAACGTCTTCGAGAGATAGACTAGGCATCCACGTCAGTCCAATGCTTCCCAGGATGAGGTTTGCAACGCACAGGTATCTCGAATAATCTCTTCAGAGCTTTGCCAGTCGTGCATCCTCGTGAGATCAGCGGAACAGGGGATACACGCTGAGAGGAACTCGCGCGCTATATAGTTGATCCCACCGTGCACGAGGATACCTGTGCCTCTGGTTAGGCCATCGAGCACCGGCTGGGCACCGCACTATGACTCTATTCACAATCCAGTCGTTATGCGGAGAGGCCTGAGAGTAACCAGCGTTAGCAGCCCAAAAGAGTTTCAGTCCATCGGAACCTTATTCACGCAGACCGAGCCTATCGCACAGCCTAAGCCAAGGAGTTGTCGAGGAAGCGTCGACCACCAACTTTGATGTAATGAAGGACTTCGGTCCTAGTAGCGTCCGGGCCCTGCAAATAGGTATAGTAGCCGGCATGTTTTTCGATCTACGAGAATGAGACTCGTGACAGGCAAGATCACCGTTGAAAGCAAGACGCGCGAGCACGGCGGGGGCCGACGCGAACCCGAGACCTCTCATCACACGCAATAAACTCGAAAGTGCTAATGATGTTATAGATTCAAAGCAGCTGGACCCTCGAGGCCCAGTAGCGAACTACGTGGAAGCAAGCAGGCAAGTATAGTATGATACAGTGTAGATGAGGTTTCGCAGGTTCGATGAATCAACATAGGCTACGCCGAAAAGCGGTATGAGAAGACGCAGCCACACCAGGAGTCGAGAGAACATAAGTAAAGATACACGCGATTACGTTTGAGATAGGATATGCTACATAATCCGAGACTGGGATGGGATGGGATAGGATGCATGCGGGAATGGCGTCGTGAACGAGACAGAGTAGACGTGAATCCGAGTAGCGACAGACGAGGAAGTGGAGAGGGCATGATGGAGCAACACCGCAGCGCTCAGCGCCGGCGGAGTGCGCGAAGTTCCGTTTGCACAGTTTGGATGTCAGGGCGATTCCACGACCCTACCCAGGTCTCGCCAGCGACACGGGCTGGACCACTCGCGTAGACGGGCATTGGCGGGATGGACGATCTAGATCTGACCGACTCCGCTGCGGAAGTGGCGAACGGCGCTCGAGAGTGCGGTCGACTCGCCGTGTTTGAGCGTTGTCGGCGCGCCAATGGTGGCGCTTCGAGGCGCGGCACACTGAGAAGCGTAGAGTCTGGTAAAGCGACATCGATGGCAGACGAGAGCGAAACGCGACGGTTCTTTTTGATTGTGACGGCACTGAAGACGAGCTCCGGCGGTACATTCTCGCCAAGGGTGCGGGAAATCTTCGTTAGCTTGCGGGAGCGCTGCTCGGCAAGCTCAACCGCGGTTGGTGTGGTGGGGGTACGGGGGGTGGTCGGAGTAGCGACGTTCACAGGAGCTGTGACGGGCGTCAAAGATAGCGCTAGGCGTACATCGTCCGTAGACACAGCGACTGGCTGCACCTCAATGAACAGCGGAGGTGCGTCCATGCTTCGCTTGCGCTTGGGCGTCCTCGGCGAGGGTGCGGCCGTCGGAGTGACTGGCGCAATCTTGACGGGCGACGCCGGACGCGAGTCGTCGGTGGGAAGGGTAGACACCGATGAGTTGTTTGAGTGCGTGAACATGGCAGAGGCAGCGTCCTCGTAGACAGTGGAAGGAGAAGAGTCTGCACTGTCAAGGGACGATCGCGGCAGGTCATGGGCGATGATCTTCGGCAGATCCTGCGGTTGTCTCCTCGCCTGCATGCCCAATTTACGCAGCTCCTCTTCGTCCAGGTCAAAGATGGAGGCGAGACGGCGCCGGTTATGCGACAGGCCGCGCGAGCGTGTGCGGGGCACCGGCGCGGGCATCGAGTCCATGGCGTTGAGGGACTGCGAGTGCTTGTGGTGCAGGGTGCGGGGAGGTGTGGGGATGACCTGCAGAGGTCGAGAGGCAGAGGATTCGACGAGAAAAGCGTTCGTCCCGAGGACCTGCTCGAGCTTGCGTGCGGAACGGATAACGCGGCTGCGCTGCTCCAAGGGAACACTGCTGAGCACGCTGTTGAGAGGCGAATACTGATCCATGAGGATGCGCGGAGGATGGTTGATATACAGTTGGGAAGAGGCGCGCGGGGGACAAGGCTTTCCAAATGGGGAGGGGTCGCGTGAAGGGGCGTGAGGAGTGAAGGAGAAAGCGGGGCGAGCGAAACGCTGGCTACCAGGGCCGGAACGGATTGTTGTCGCTATATGAAGCCCTGAAGCCCGTCCGCTCGCAGATCTTCCAGTGGTTCGTGGACAAAAGAACGACAATTCATTGAGGGAGCACGGAAGTGGCCGCGTGCTGCACCGCTCTCGGTGGTAATAGCCGGGTTACTATAGAAATTGCTGACCTTTGTTCCCCGTGGGAACAGCCTCTTCCGTGCCCAGGTAGTTCTTGCTATAAGTACACTCCCTTCGACGTCGTCAACAACTCTCTACGCGTTGAAGAGCCTCTTGCAACGGCATTTGCAGTGTACCGAGAGCCAAGTGCGAAACTTCGCGGAAGAGTTGATGATGGGGTGCATGCACGCGGATTCCCATGGTTATTGTATGGAGCATTGTGCGGACAATACCGTGGCCAGCAAGAAACGTCAAGCATAAGCCACGCGCCAAACTGTGTTGACTGTACACATGTACTTATATGCATTGGCTAATGTGCGCAAGAAGATAAAATGCAGGCGCCGCCGCTAACAACAAGGATCAGCTGGAAACTGAGCGCTTGAGGCGATAAGACTCCGAGAGTGATCGTATCGTTCCACGCAGGTAGACCTTGGGTAGGACCACCACGAGTACTTAGGCACTAGTCAGTTCAACTTGAAAAGATGACAATTTAAATGGTGGACGGATCGGGGAGATGATAGGTGAACTCGTTGATAGGTTTGCATAGGGTAGGTCATCGCATCTCGAGTGAGCGTAAACGACTCTGTACAGTGTACGTATGAGGGTAGCATTGTAGCCCTGGCCAGCGCGGGAGGTGAACGCTGAGAGGACGTGACAAAGGTCTTCGGCCGACCGTTGTGTATCGTGTGATCTATCCCCACTGGTCTGACTTCCTATCGTGTGCTCCGGATCGACAGCCGCTCACAATCTCGGCTCTCGCATCCGCTATGACACTTGGCCTATGCGTCGCAGAGAGTCTACGCGCGGGTTTGACTGAGGCCCGGAAGTGACTGTGGCTGAGGCAGCCGCCGAGGGGCTCGTTCACCGATGGAGGATTGAGACAAAAATATACCTTCGCGGGTGGGCGCGGCCCCTCTGCCGAAGACGTCATCGGCTCGGCCCCAAGTTGATTTTTCGCCGTAGCGCAAAGCTCGCTCTAACGCCATACCTCGCAATAGAGCGACTTCAGTGTCTGCACACCTTGACTTTGTACCACCACCATGAACGCTTCGAGCTGCCCAGATCATGATGCTCAGATGCGGGCATTGACCACTGCTTATCACAGAAACGGGGTTGTTCCTGCAGAAGTCGACTTCCGACGGAGCGAATGTCTCCCACTGGCCGACCCACTACACACCATGGCCTAAAGCCTCATGACAAAGGTCCATATATATACCCGGATGTCGGGCATGCGACCGACTCAGAAGGTCGTTGCCCCTCACTGCAAGCCTCTACTCCTCTGCCATCGACCGTACCATGTCTGCGCAGTCAGAGCTTCCTATGACGAACGAAAAATCACGACCAGAGTCTGCGGTCACCGTGGCCGGAGATGCCCCGACTCCAATAAAACCCAAAGACTCGAACGACAATGATTTTCTTCCCGCCACAAATACTGACGGTGTCCCTCCCGGTGCTACTCGTAGGGGTGACACCCTCATCCTAGATTGGGATGGCCCCGACGACCCGGGCAACCCGAGAAAGTGCGTACCGCGCATGCTGTCTGCGACCATTTGTCTGATCCCATTCTGCAGCTGGACGCAGTTCAAGAAATGGCGAGCAATGCTCATCGTCTCCTCATTCACTTTCATCTCGCCAGGTGCGTTTCGAGGAACTACGCGCAAACGTGTGCATCCGTATTAACGTCGACTCAGTCTCGTCCTCCATGATTGCACCTGCAATGGGCCAACTACAAGAGGCTTTCAACATTACCTCGACTGTGCTGCTCGCAATGACGACGAGCGTCTTCGTGCTGGCGTATGGTACGCCTGCTTTTTCCCGTACTCAAGGGCACTGGCTAATCCTATCCTAGCGTTCGGACCTCTATTCTTGGGACCATTATCGGAATTATACGGCCGTTCGCGCGTGCTACAGATCTCAAACATGTGGTACTTGGCCTGGAACCTCGGTAGGGCCCTCTCGATAGCGCAGGCTCATAAGGTAGCTTACCGGACCAATTAGGCTGTGGCTTTGCGCAGAATAAAGGGCAGTTGATCGCCTTCCGTTTCATGGCCGGGCTGGGTGGCTCCGCGCCATTATCAGTACGTGCACTTCCGAAGCCCGAAGCCATTGACCAGCTGACCTCCTCCTCTCAGATCGGTGGTGGAGTCATCGGTGACCTCTTCACGCCTGAGCATCGAGGGCAGGCTATCGCTATCTACTCCCTGGCCCCGCTCATCGGACCGGTAGTCGGGCCTATCGCTGGAGCATGGATTGCTGAAAGGTCCACATGGAGATGGGTGTTCTGGTCGACCACGATCGTCGATGCCGCAATTCAAGTATTGGGTCTCTTCTATCTTCGCGAGAGTACGTCATTTTCCCTCGCCTGATACACTTGAAACTAAGCGGATCAATAGCGTACGCCCCTGTTCTGCTTGAGCAACGCGCCGAACGCCTGCGCAAAGGCAGCGACATAGAGAAGAACATAGAGATCAGGACGGTATACGAAGAAAAGATGGACCGAGAGTACGTCGTGCGCTATCTAAACTCGAGACATTCGCTAATCGGTATCGGTATATAGCTGGAAGGTGGTCATGAAGAAGTCACTCATCCGACCTTTCGTCCTCTTCTACTATGAGCCCATCATTCAGCTGCTGGGAGTCTACATGGCTTTCGTCTACGGGCTGATGTATCTCGTGTTGACGACGATCCCGGGTATCTTCGAAGGCGTTTACCAAGAGGATGTCGGAATTGCGGGCCTGAACTACCTAGCCCTTGGTGTTGGCCTCACGGGTGCTTCACAGATCAATGCGCGCTTGCTGGACTACCTCTATCGCAAGCTCAAGGAACGTAATGGTGGTGCTGGCAAGCCCGAATATCGTCTACGTATGTGCATGATCTCTTTTATTCCTATCCCTCGCTCACCAGTTGCTCCAGCATCTATGTTCCCTGGGACGCTCATTCTTCCTGCTGGTCTCTTCATCACGGGATGGACCGCGCGCGCCGATGTCCACTGGATAGCGCCCGACATCGGCATCGCGTTGATTGGGGCTGGTGTCATCTTGAACTTCCAGGCCATCCAAACCTATGTAATTGACGCCTTCACCTTGCACGCTGCCTCTGCGCTTGCAGCTGTCGCATTCCTCCGCAGTCTTTGCGGTTTCGGTTTCCCTCTATTTGCTCCCGTACGTGTGCATCTTTTATTCAGAATCAATTCCATGCTAATTTCTCATCTAGGCCATGTACTCTGCTCTAGGATATGGCAAAGGCGACTCGATTCTGGGAGCCGTCGCTATCGTCATTGGCTGTCCCGCTCCCTATCTCTTTTGGCACTACGGCGAGCGCATCCGCAAGGCAAGCCGTTACGCTCACAAATCTTGATCATGATCACATTTTTGTCTCGTCTCCTTCTAAACCTCACGCCGTCTCTGACGACCTTCACGAGCGCTTCACGAGCGCTTCACGTAGTAATTCGTATAGCACCACCTTCTGGGACAGGGTCTCATTCACATTCAACACGCTATCCTCCATGCTGTATCATGATCGCACACACATAGACATCCTTCTATCATCATCTCATATAGGAATAGTACATCGTAGCTCGTAGTTCACGAATTAATGTTCACTTGAAAAATCTTGGTATGAACGAGAGCGTAAACCAACGGTCCGATTGCGGTATTCGAGATCAAACAAAGTGTGGACTACCGCCCAAATGTATGGTATATTGTATGGATGCGGGTGACCAAAGCGAGTCCAGGCTCACTATGCGTTTAAACATGAAGGTATCCAAACTTTCTGCACGGGAAAGCAAATGGTGTGCGACCGCGGTATATATACAGAGGGTTGAAGCAAGCGGGGGATTATCCTGAACCAAAGTGCAGAACCTTCTTAAGCGCATCCCATCTTGAGTGAGCATCGATGGACTTCGCGGCGTCAGTATTAATGAGGTCCCATCTACGCATCAGTCAGCACACCCGCAAACCTGGGTAGAGGGAGACTCGCACCGGATAATGAGGTCCCCATATCCTGTGATCTTGTCGTCCTGTCGCTTCGGCATGCCTTTTCCCAATACGCGAGAGCCTTGCGAAGAAAGGACAAGGTTGGAAGGAAGCGGCACTTTCATGCTCTTTCCGTCAACACCGGTGAACGCAACGTGACCGGTGGGCCATTCGGCGCCAGGCGACCACGGCATTTCGACTGCCATAAAGAGATCCGCGCTCTGCCCGGTGGGCACCCGCCGAAGATATCCGTGTGGCCGTTCACGCACTTCAAATGTGACAGACGGCAATGCACGAATACGTGTACCGGGCTTGCAACCGGGCGGGATCACAACTCGGACGTTCTGGTGTGCGCCGTCCGCACCGGTCGAGATGCGAAACTTCTGGGACGTGCCCGTGTAAAGTTCTTCGAGGGAGAGATCCAGTGGGAACGTCCATTCCGAAGAATCTGACTTGCGTGCGGCAGGCTTCGGGGGTGACAGGGGTTGTAAGGGAGGATCGAGAGGCGCGGATGGGTCGGGTCGCGGTACATGCACGTAATTAGACTCACGACTTGTTGACGAACTTCGAGAAGCCCGCGAAGTCGAGCTGTGAGATGCACTGCGCTCGCGGCGTGGTCTCTCAGGGATGCTACTGCCGCCATACAATGAGATGGGCGTTGCGATTGGACGAAGACAACGAGAGTAGCTCACCCCTTCAGGTCGGCATGACTCCTCGAACGAGTAGAAAAATGTGCTGACTCCGAGTGTGCGGGATCCCGAGCTGACCTAGCGGAGGACAGGGAGGGCGTTGAGCTTTTGGAGGAAAGGGGTTGGGTGTAGCGCTTAGTGCTCTGAGAAAGGACGGAGTCGGTGTGGCGGTGGGTCGCTGAAGGTCTGGAATGCGAGGAAGTAGCGTGAGATGAGGCGTGAGCATTGGTTGACAGCACAGTTGAAGATGCGCTGCGTGTCGTGTGTCGTGGTACGTCAGCATAGATGTCCTCCTTTCGCGAGGCGGAAGACCCATTGGGAAAGGCATCATCTGGGACGGAAGCGTAACGAGACCGGCTCCGTTCTGGATGTGGGGGTCGAGGTTTTGGCGATGCAACAGAGTTTGCGGAGGGTGATTCGGTGATAGACAGGTAGGCATCATGTATCTGCAGCTTCGTCAGCGCGCGCGATCGGAATGGGCCGGACAAGAATACATACCTCCACGAACTTCTCTGCGGCCTCGGTCTTGTCTTCCACATGGCGGTCGGGGTGCCATTTCAAAGCCTACATGCCCGTCATCAGTTACAAAATATCATATACACAGGACGCGCATACCAGTCTCCGGTAGGACGCACGGACTTCCTCGAGGGGTGCGTCCGACGTCAAGCCAAGGACGGAATAAGGATCGTTGGGTGCAGTACTGGACATTAAGCTGAGTCAGGTTCGGTAACAGCCTGGCGAGTGGGCAGAAGGTATATGACAGAGAAACAAGGCAAGTGCACCCGGCACGACCCCACAACGTGGTGGAACGAGAGGAGAGAGCGCGTTGACACCTCGAGTTGAACATGCGCATCAACATGAACGTGACAAATGATCATCGTGCCCGCGGCCCAGGTCCATTCCCGCGCCTTCATACCTAATCACGACGTTCGCACTGCCAAACTGGACCCTAGTTCAGAAATAGGTTATGGTCAAGGGGCCTCTTGATATATCGCGTGTAGACCAGGAGGTGGAAGGCGTATATCCCCGCTCCAGTGCGTGCGAAAGGACATGATGGTGGTTTGGGGATAAGGCGCGTGACCGCGTCAATGCGCGTCATATCCCGCTCAGTCGCGTCGCGTCTGACCTGCTCTTGACCACCACCAGCGGCCGGCTGCGCGAGTCGCCTCACATTGACTCTTCGGTACATGAATCTCAATTGAATAAATATCCTTAGCATGTCTTTGGATGGTCTGCTACAATTCCACCGGTCCATCCTGGACGCGATTATCGACCCGAAGACCAGCGACTTCCTCCTGCTCGCTCGCGGCCTTGGTCTACGCAAGATTGTATGCACTCTGATGCAGATATACGAATCTCCGAAAAGCCTGGTTCTACTTGTTGGAGCATCACCAGAAGAAGAAGATGCAATAGGGGAGGAACTGAGTATCATGGGTTGTAGGAAACCCGGTCTTCGCAAGGTTGACTACGAGATGTCGAAGAAGGACAGGCAAGTGGCTCGCTTCTCTCGCATTTTACAACTGACTCAATTGTACCAGGACAGAACTCTATAAAAATGGCGGACTGATATCTGTTACTTCTCGTATTCTGATCGTTGACATGTTGCAATCGGACATGCCCACCGAGCTCATTACCGGTATACTAGTCCTTCATGGTGAAAGGTCAGTTGCGACCATTGAGCTTGCTGTGCACGAACCTGGCTTATTTCTGTCGCAGGGTGACAGAAACCTCAATGGAAGCCTTTGTCGTTCGACTTTACCGCGAGAAAAACACGAATGGTTTTCTGAAGGCGTTCTCTGACCAGCCTGAGTACATAACTTCCGGCATCTCGCCCCTGAAGAAAGTTCTCAAAGAGCTGCAAGTTCGGAATGTGCACATATATCCCCGGTACGCTGAACGTAATGCTCCCCAAGAACCTTCGCTCACATTAACCGCAGTTTCCATGAAGAGGTCAAAGACTCCTTGGAGCGAAAGCGCGCCGACGTTGTCGAGCTATACCAACCTATGACTGAATCTATGAGAGATATACACGCCGCGATCGTGGATTGTATGGTTGCGACCCTCTCGGAGCTCAAACGAGCAAATACACAGGTTCTGGTGCCGCTCACCTAAGAAGATTCCACAATATTGATGATTGGATCAGCTAGACCTGGACGATCTAAACGTCGAAAACGCCTATTTCCGGTCTTTCGATGCAATTGTGCGCCGCCAACTGGATCCGGTATGGCACAAAGTGGGACCTAGGACTAAGCAGTTGGTCGGAGACTTGGGAACGCTTCGACGTTTGTTGATGTATGGAGACTTCTGGTATCCATTGCGAGAATGCTAATCATGCCCGCAGTTACTTGCTTTCTTACGACGCGCTCTCATTCCATGAGTACCTCGAGACCATCGTACTATCGAATACAGTCAATGAAGCCGGTCGCACCAAACAACATCAGTCCCCTTGGCTTCTGACAGATGCTTCGCACATCATCTTCACAACCGCCAAGCGGCGCTGCTATGAGATGATGGCCAGACCAGTGCGGTCAGAGACCGTCAATCAAGCGGACGACGAAGACGCGTGGGATGCCTTAGACGAAGTATCCGGCTCAACCCAGCCCAACGCTAAGTCCGCCCCCGCAACCCAGAAGTCCGATCGACCAAGACCAACATGGATGCCGGACAATATCGAGCCTGTTCTCGAGGAGTTGCCGAAATGGTGTCTTCTCGCAGAGACCCTGAAAGACATAGAGGATGAGATTATGCGCGAAGAGTCCATGAGCCGATGTACGAAGCCATTCTTGTACCCAAGCTTCTCCCTCTCACGTGTCTCCAGCTGGCAAAGGGAACAACGTTGTACTCGTCATGACATCTTCTCTTCGTACAGCTACGCTTCTCAACGAGTTCTTGTCCAAGATGGACCCGGAAGCGCAGCCTGGTCAACAGGGTCGAAAGATGATGCAGGATAAGCTCGGCCTATACCTATGGTGGAAAACACGGCTGTCCAAAGGCCCTCAAACAGGTCAAACAGGGAAAACGTCCTTGTTTATCCCTGATACGCTTCGCACCGCCAAGACAACCGTGCAGAATGAGGACGATGGTCTGAATGAGGCGCTCAAGAAGAAGGACCGTGATCGGCGCGACAAGGCTGCGAGTAGACGGCGCGTGCGCGGCGGCGGCCCGTCCCAGGCGGATACTGGTAGAGTCAAAGGCAAAGCGGTAGATGGCGGCATGTCTCTTGGGGAGGAAGCCATGCGCGACGAGGCGGACAGCATCGCGCAATAGTATGTCCATCATGGTCTCGTACGCGTCTTTGCTCACAATAGGCCTGCAGCTTTGCGAAGCAGGACGGCGCCTCCTTATCAGCCTCATTAGGGCTAGATGCCTCAGCTAACGATGAGGAGCTAGCAATCGCCCTATCTATGTCGTCCGTCGACGACGAGTCCGCCTTCCTCAATGACCTCGACCAATTCTACGGTCTTGTGCCACCCCAGATGACCGTGCTTATCCGCGCGTACTCTGATGATAGCGACGACAGACTACTTTCTGAGCTTCAGCCTCGCTTCGTCATTATGTACGAACCCAGCCACGAATTTATTCGACGTATCGAGGTGCGGACTCACCATTGGCGCCAACCAGAGATGACAGCTGACGGCCGAGATAGGTCTACAAGAGTTCGCATCCAGGATTTGGTGTCCGCGTTTACTTCATGCTCTACCAGTCGAGCTGTGAAGAGCACAAATATCTGGCTGGACTTCGCAAGGAGAAGGACTCGTTCGAGAGTTTGATCAGAGAACGAGGGGTATGCATACACTTTATTGCGGACGAATCCCATCATTGATGACTGGCTGCACAGTCTATGCTCATACCTATCTACGAAGATCGGATAGCATCAGGTGGTGGATCGGGAGACGCCCTAATCAAGACAATCAGCACTCGTGTCGCTGGCGGTAGAAAGGAGGTGTCGACAGAACCATCTCGCGTACGCCATACCGATATAGGCCACTCTTGCCCCATCCAGGCTAACCATATCCTGCAGGTCATCGTTGACATGCGAGAGTTCAGGTCCACCCTGCCCTCATTATTGCATGCGTCGAAGTTGCTTGTCATTCCGGCGACGCTGACTGTCGGCGACTACATCTTGACGCCGGATATCGCAGTGGAGCGCAAGAGCATACCCGACCTGATACAGAGCTTCAATAGCGGGCGACTGTGCGTAGATGCACTATTAGGTTTCAATCTCTGATCTGATCTCCTGACAGATATTCGCAATGCGAGCTGATGTCCGTACACTACAAGCAGCCCATCCTCCTCGTAGAGTTTGAGGAACACAAGTCGTTCTCTCTCGAAGTGAGTCCACGTCGCTTGATCGGACATTCCTCGTGACTGATGGGATCCGTAGATCGTACAGGATATGAAATCCTACGCCAAACCCACAGGGAAGTACCCTGCAAAGAAGCCCGGTGCGCCTGGAGAAGGCAGCGAGTCGTCAGGGCCGCCGACAATTCAACAGAAGCTCGTCCTATTGACATTATCATTCCCGCGCGTCCGTATCATCTGGTCCTCCTCTCCCTACGCCACCGCGGGCATCTTCAACGACTTGAAATCGAATCAATTCGAGCCCGACTATAAGGCTGCCGTAGCCATCGGTGCAGAGGAGGATCCTGATGCGGGCGCGGGTGTGAACAGCGCCGCAGAAGAGGTCCTGCGCACGATTCCTGGAATCACCGCGAAGAACGCCAAACATGTCATGAGCCGTGTGCCTAGTATTCGCGCGTTGTGCGAACTCTCTTTGAGGGAGGTGCAGGACATCCTTGGAAGTGAGCCTGGCAAGTTATGCTGGGAGTTTTTGCACTGGGGTGAACGGCCGAAGAAATGAGGGCCACGTCGCACGCTTCATTTGCGCTTGAGTTTCCCGGATGGTACCGTAGTGTATAGTTGCCAACCTCTACCGCCTATCATCGATGAGTGGCTGTACTCCGAAATACCACAGGACTGAAAGCTGCCACACATTATATTTTACAGACATCGCATGTACCCGACGCTTCGTCCGCCGATCCTCCGGGTGATGGCAAAAGCGATGCAGCAGGAGGCAGCACGGTCACGGCGCGCAGACGCGCTCCACGCCATAAGCCCTAGTGTGTGCAAGTGTGCGAGTATTTGTCGCACGCCAAAGCGCAATGCCTCGTTGATCAATCAATAATAGTGATTTCAATCCGCGACAACGACGGAGCACTTCTTCTAGTTTTGCTACCTGCCGCCGCCCTATACATGGTAGTATGCAACTTCATTTGTTCCATCTGGCGGCCTCCGGCGGGCTCCATAGTAGGCTGAAGATGACAGTTCCGTCGCTATGTTGTGGAGGAATCTGCCATCACACCGTTTGATGTAGCTTGTTGACGGTGGAGGCGGTGTCGCCTGGTCGCCGCCGCGCGACCTGTGCGAGTCCGAAATGGCGCAGTCCCGTTCCCTAATACATAAATACAGCCATCGCCTGATGCGCGCAGGAGATAGCCTTTTCTTCTCCCCTCATAGTAGTTCGAGTGCGACCGGTGCGCGCCACTGCTTTCTTTTTCTACGTTCCGCAAGTCACGGCTCCTTTACGACCTTCTCCTTCTTAACGCTGTGCTTGCTTTTATCTTCGTCTGAGGCTCCAAACGTTCATTCATTCACTTGTAACGACATGTTCACGACTAAGCGCGCGATGCCTCTCGACCCTCTGAGTCCGACTTGCCCTCTGACGACAATGCAGCGCGTCCAGCTCATGAAGTCGACGCGCAAGGTCGCTAAGCTACTCGGCGCCACCCCGCAGATCAAGATCAGAAACGCCTCCCCTCAAGTCATCCGCAATCAAGATGGTGTCTTGGTAGTGCGCGGGCGACAAAGCTCTCTAGACGATACAACAACGCTTCTGCCTCCGCGCATCACAGCGCCTCGCGCAACATCTGCCCCGTCATCGCCCTTGCCCGTGCCTAACGCCGCGATGTTGGAAGCGCAGGGTCGTGCCAGCCTTCGCCGGCGCGCACCTCGACTACAGATCGACAGCTCGGGCCCGTGTTCTGACACTGGACTCAAGGCGCTCTCGTCCCCTCGAACGCTCTCTCAACCGCTTTCCCCGCCATTGGTAACACCACCAACACCCGCGACTGCGCGACGGGGATCTTTCTTCCCTCCCACACCCAAGACAGCGGTGTGCGAGTCTCCCAGTGCTCGTGCAGCACGCGAAAGGCGTCTATACCGCAAGAGGCTGAGCAAGTTGGGGCGTACATTCGGGCAGGTGTGTAAGGGTCTGAACCTATAATGGATGTCAGTAGCACTAATATCTTCCAGGCCATCCCCCCGGTACTGGTGCCCGCACCTCCCTCTCTCGTGGCCCGGCCTCGTGGCCGTCGAGGACGCCGGTCGTTATATGTATCGGTCGGGGCTGCCGCAGCTACGTCGCCAGCCATCTCATATTCGATATCGTCCAGCTCGTCCGCCTCGGGAAACGCTCAGGAGAATGTCCCACCCATCCCAGAGCGTCTCTCGAACACAATCACAACACGACCCCACCTTCGCATCAAGGTGGCTTCACCTCCCACGGCTTATCAACCCCTGCCTTCCTCCTGGCAGGCGATGCCCAAGATGAAACGAGTGGAGGAGGTGTTTGAGGGACCGCGAGACGTCTTGGTGGAGGTCAACCGGAAGATAGAGGTGTTCGAGTATACGGACTCGCCGCAATCTCTGCGTCGCACGGCGTCTTTCGAGGCCCTATCTCCCGCTGTACTACAGGCCACCAACCTCCCGCCCCGTTCACAGAGCGTAGAACCTCTTCGCCGTCTGCCAACACTCGATATGATGGAAATGGATGGCCCTTTCGAATCTCACTTCGACCAGCGTGCACACGCTACTGGTAGTGACGCGTCATTCGATCTGCCTCCACGTTCAAACTCTCGCCTTGCTCAGATTCTGCTTGGAAAGAGCAATGCAGAAGAGGGAGTGAAGCCAATCGCGTATCGTAGTGAACGGCGCCAGGGGTGGAGTGGCGAATGGAACGCAGCGAGCGTTCAGGATGTCATAGTTCGTTTACGCGAACTGAAGTGAGGTACTTGGCATATACGCCGACATGCAGGGCTAAGCATTGTGCATCCTCATACTGTACCGATCGAAATGCGTATCTGTACATGCACATGCCGAGTTAATTCATTCTGTCACCAACACATAGTCAAGGTACTTTGCGATAAACCGAATGTAACATCCATGACATGGGTACACGGGTTACTACGCATCAGACCACCGAAGCTTCCTCTTTCGCCGCGTCCTTCGCATGACCCTTAGGATGCCCCATCGCCTCGTGGAGTGCTTCAGCGCTCAAAAGCTTGGCATACCGGGGCTGCACAAATATTCCTCTGTGCAAACGGTGTAAGCCATCAATCCACAAGCCGGGATTGAGATAAGATCGTACGCGGCTTCTGCGAGGGTATTCCCGGAAAGATCCTGGACGACGCCAGAGACAGACGCTTTGCGACCCTTGAGTTCAACGAGTCTCGTTTTGATGACGATGAACTAGGCTAGAGTGAGTAATTCAACTTCAGCGACTATCGGAATGAATACAAACCTGGTCAGCCTTTGTTGGTGCACGATAGTTGATGCTCAAATTGGCTGTCACTCCGATCTTCTCTGGTAGATTAAGAATTGCCTGTGAGAATCAGTTGATTGAATAACAGGACATCATTCTGCGCAAGGACAGACCGTGCGGGCGAGCGTCTCATCTAGTAAAGTTGCGATTAAGCCCCCATGTATTATACCATCGTGTCCACAGAGGCCACGGCCCACGTGTATAAAGACGTAGGCCTCAGATTCATTTTTCCTGGCCCAGCACACTGGAGGGACCGCAAGGCGTCCCGCGCCACGTAAGGCTCCAGCCGTAAGGTTATTCACTCTCCTTTCTTCCCGCAAAGTGGCGTAGGGGCGTGATTCGTACCATTCGGCAGAGTCGAACCTCGTGCGTAGTTCTCTCAGTGCAGGCAGTTCGTTAATCTCCTTCTCTAGGCGCTCAACGAGTGCAATGGCGTCGGGATGGTCGGGAGGTGGCGGTGGAGGTGCTACTCGTGGGCTGATAAATGTGAACAAGTCGACGGGGTAGAGTGCACCGAGAGTATACGCTGAGGCTGCAGCAGTTCCTAGCAAGACATACTTCGAGGCTGCCGATGAACGAGTAGGACCCGAAGCAGTCGTAGCCATCCTTCGTCTCGCGACCGTCGTTGAAGAGCGAATCGCATTAGTAGGCCGAGAAGCTCGACATAATTTGAACATAGCCGACGTCATTAGAATCGTGAGTGGTGAAGTGTCTGTCAAAAGTGATCAACAATCGTCCCTATTGTCTTGCGTACGACTCACCGTGTATAAATGCCTCTACGAAGTCAGTAACTTGGAGACCGATGCGAATTAGCGATGATGGTGGTCCGAAGCAGGGATCCGAAGCAGGGATGCCACAGCCAAGCCAATGTGATGCTAAGCAACTACCGGGACCGGTCAACACCGAGCCGGCGTCCGAGTGCGCCCGGCACCCACGGCCTCCCCCTTGGAAATCGTGACAGTTCGCGAAGGCGGTCGACAAGTGTAACCATATAGCGAGGGACGTCTACGCGCTAGCTTCTCTATCGAGCTCATGGGCGTTTTGCGGCGCGTCATGAACGCATGGATGGGCCATTTATTACGCGTGGCACGTGAGTTTTCATTCAAGGACGCGTCCACGTCACGGTCAATCCACGCAAGGCATGCGGACTACAGCTCACGGCCATTAAGCGCTCTGATCTCCACGTTTCCACGGCCATCACATCTCTGTTTCTTCTTACAGGAATTTGAATCGCGGATTCCCCCCGCGCTCCCCCCGGAGTACTCACTAGTCCTTTGGACACTCTGGTTTCAGAGTATGCGATAGCAGGGAGATGAGTCAGAGGATTCATGGCAAAGAGTAGCCGGAGAAAGTGAATAGTGGGGAGTACACATGCGACGGAGCAGACTGAGGTGCACATAGGAGTCACTAGTGGTCTACAGCGCTCACACTGATATCGAGTGTATCGAACTTGATCGACTGGGGGTTTGTCAAAAGAAGCTGCGGGCGGCCCCAGGAGTGCCACCACTCATTGGCCACGTCCTCTGCATTGTAAGAGTAGGTCCCCCATGTATCCGCCCACCGCTTTTGCGCGTCGTCTAGGGTCCTCAGTTCATAAAGCGGGGTGCCCGCCTGATAAAGTGTTTGCATAGCAAGGTCGCGTGCACGCGTAATCTCGCTGTTGGGTCTTGTCATCTCCTGTAGGTTGCGGCTATCCACATCGCAGATCTCTTGACATCGAGTTCGTCTAATCTCTTGAAACGCTGATAGAAAGGTCGGTATTTGATCCTCGCCGCGAAGGTGAGAGAAAAGCTCCGCGAAAGCTGCAGCATCTTCGACCCCCATAGCAGGTCCTTGCAAGCTACCAAGCTACTACACATGAGTACATCGCTGAGCCAGACGTAGGTCTGGCGACATACAACGAATGGATGTGCGCCTTGACCTATGGTCACGCATCTACTGCTGGGATGCACCCAGTCCTCGAGGGGATCAAATTCAACGATGTGAAGACTTGTCGTAGTAGGCTTCATCATCGAAACCAGTTTCAGAACCCTATTCCGTCTTCAGTGCACTGTTCGAGGTAGAGCATCCGGCAACGGCACATACCTCGGCTCCATGCCAGTAGGATCAAAGTCGGCAATGTCTGACGTGCCTTTACCTTGAGGATTAAGCCTTGGGGCGTATAGGTGAAATGCAGCCGTTTCCGAGCTCTGAAGTGGTGTCAAACGGGCAAACGCTAGCAGTCTCTTATATAACTCACTATTGGGAAGAGTATGGCAGCATGCCTGTCTCCGAACCATACGTGTTCTGCATCCTGTAAAACGATTCCCTTCAGATCCTGGACCATATGAGCATTGCATAACGTGCCGGTTGCGCGTCAAGAAGCTCTTTCAGGGCTGGGGTATCCCGTATGGCTGCGAGCGAGAGTACTGCACTGGATGCGCTGGTCAGCCAAGAACAGGTCTTTGAACTCAACATCGCGTACTCGAATAAGACCAGATCCGTGTCTCGCCCAAAGTCGGGGGTTTCTTCTAAAAGAGTACGGCGGATAAGATCATTTGTGCCGCCAGCTCCTATGATGACATCTGACTGGATCTCTTCCCCAGAACGGAGCCGAACAGATTTCCCGTCCTCAGCCACAGAGACCACGTCAGCGCCCATTCGTATTTGCGCTCCGAGAGCTCGGGCCTTGGAAGACAACACACGGCGCAGATTGCGTCGCTGTAGAGTAAAGAGTCGAGGCAAGGATAAAGATGAGCATGGCAATTTGTGGTGTAGGTTGGGGAACGTACGTCTACGCTCATAGTTACTCCGCCTACTTCACGCATCAACTCCTCATCCTTTTGGTATAGTGTCAATGTTGCACCATCCGCAACTTGATCACGCATTCACACAGATGTTAGCACACGAATATCGGGAGAGCCCATGAACGTACGACGGATTACATGAAAACATCCAGAATCGACGCCAACAGTCTCTAGTTCTCCTTCAAGGCCCCAATCGTAGAATATTTTCGTCATCTGAAGGTAAATCGTCAGCACACGGGACTGTCGCGGACTTGTACACGGAATGACCCACATTGGGTGGCATCCGATACCCGGAGTGAGAGGCCTCTCCCTAGGGAGTAGGATCAGTCACATTCTGTGTTTCACTTGCGATACCTCACACCTGGTCGAGACTGAGCTCTCGTTCGAGTACTGTGACTTCATGACCCGCGCGCCGTAGTGCGACACTTGTCGCTAAGCCCGATACCCCCCCTCCGATGACCAGGAATTGCGCCGTGAAGCGGGTCGTGGTTGGCGAGTGTGGATCCTGCATCGAAGCTGCGGAGACGCACAGGTTAGTCGTCAATTGACAAACACGACTGATAACTCGTACAAGACATCTCGGCGCAAGCGGAGCCGCAGGGTCAGAAGTGGGAAGGGAAGTCGGTACTCGGCATCGTTCGTTAAGCTTTAAGTAGGCTTGCGTGTCAGATCAGTTGGCGAAGCGGCTTTGCACAAGTCCGTAAGATATCCCACCCCGGGCGGTTGTTTCAGAGTCCATGCATCCCTTCTCCCCACGGAGCGGTCATTCCCCTTGAAGATCCTGATCCGGATTAGACGTCAGGATGGTTGGTGGGATCAGCTGTTTGACTTGCTCCCAGTCCTCTTGCAATGCCGCCGATGTTAGACGTCGATCGGTTCGTGCGAGGGCGAAGAAAAGACATGGTCGGTGCACTGGTGCATTGTCAGAAGCCGGCGGACGTGTCGATGGTACATGTACCGGTGAATCCTTAAAAGGGACGCCTGATACATCTCCGCAAGCTCCACGACAATCATCAAGAAGTCTACAGCGCACGCGAAGGCTGCAGAATTCACGATGGCCGGGCGCGTAGGAACCAGATAGGAACAGTGAAGAACATCATCCTCGCAGTCTCCCGTCAGAACCAGCGCCGACATGGGAGTCTGTTGTCCCAGACGCTCAGATGACATTCGGAGACTGGTCTCCGCTATATGAAACGAAGTATTAGCCGTCCATGGACTTGGCTGTTCAGGTCGCTCACGTCGAGGCTTGGGTCAAGACTGCCCCAATGCTCCAGTGCCGAGGCGGGTTGATGGCCGATCTGCGTGGCTGTCGCGTGGCTTGCACGCACGCGCCGCTGTCCTGTTGTTTTTCGTCTTGAGCACCTCCCTCCACTCATACTTAGCAAACCTGACGCTCTGCCTCGAGATCCTCGGTGAGGCTCTGCCTTGACGACGGTCGGACCAGCGTCGGACCCGTCTGCCACGAGGACAGCTAGAAGACATGATATCTCTCACGGACTTGGGGTTTGGATGGGTTCAGACAGGTTCAGACTGATGCAGCCAGCGATGCTGCGCATTGGGGCGACGTGAGTAAAGATACCTAACGGAGGTACAAAAGTCCTCAAGTGACACTCAGCGCGTCTCATATAAGTATGGTGAACTCACGCTGGTGCCGATCCCGGTATAGAGCACTCGGTTTTAATTTGAAGGATACTTACCCCAGTATTGCGCCAAGCTCTTGCGTAGCTTTCTACGACCGTGTGGCCAGGATTCGGGGGGACTGATCAGGCACTCTGCGCAGTCACTGAGAATCAGGCAATGAGTCTACCTATCGAACTCGACTGGTAGCTGCTAAACGCTGGGCGCTGAACGTCGAAAGCGCTTCGTTCGTTGGACACTCAATCGAACTGCTTGTTCAAGCTAAGGCGCCGCCCTTAATTAAGGCGACATAGGCATCGGAGGGATCCTCCGTAGGCGCCTTCTGATGGCATTCGGAGAACTCATCTGCCAGTGCAGCATGAGTGAAGCGGGCTGGCGCAAGACTGTCGGCCGGTGAATCTGATGACTGTAGAGCGCAGAGATCACCGAGGCACGTGAGATCGCCGAGGTGCAATACGCTCGCGCGGGGCGAAAACTGTCACAGCCCCTCCGGGG